CAATGTTCTTTTTGTGAATTGGTGCCCAAAATTGAACTGCATATTCCAGAGGAGGTGTTACTAATGATTTGTACCGGGGTAATATGATATCTCTCTCTCTGGAGTCTATACCTCTTTTAATACAAGAGAGATTTTGCTCGCTTTAGAAACCACAGCTTGGCATTGCATGCCATTATTAGCTTGTGATCTACCAGAACTCCCAGATCCTTCTCCACCATTGATTCCCCCAAATTGTACTCCCCCCAGTATGTATGATGCATGCATATTCTAGCCCCCAAGTGTATAACCTTACATTTATCAACATTAAACCTCATTTGCCACATAGTTGTCCAATTAAACAGTGCATTGAGGTCGGCTTGTAAATTGGAGACATCTTGTAAGGATGTTATTCCACTGCACAGCTTGGTGTCATCTGCAAAGCATGAAACTGTATTATTAATCCCAGACCCTATATCGTTTATAGATATATTAAAAAGTAAGGGTCCCAACACTGACAACCCTAGACCATTCAGAGTATGAATCATTAACCGCTACTCTCTGAATACAATCTTTTAGCCAGTTGTCTATCCATTTACATATGGATTTTTCCAAGCCTGTAGACATTACCTTACCGTGTGCGGGGAACTGTGGCAAACGCTTTTGCAAAATCCATGTATACCACATCCACCAACACTCTGTCCAAGGTTTTGCTCACCTCAAAAGAAATCAGATTTGAATCCATGCTGTCTGTTGCTTAAAATATTTTTTTCAAGCAAGAACTCACCAATTACGCTAATCCAGTGGTACTATGCCAGTCATTAGAGTCCCTAAAAATTAGAAACAATGGCTTTGAAATGACAGCTCAATTCTTAAAGGACCCATGGGTGAATGCCATCTGGTCCAGGTGCTTTATTCACCTTTATTCTAAATATTTTTGGATCATATCAATTGTGAGCCAATGTGGATCATCTGGAGCTGTGTCAATACCATGCCCATTATGGACAAGAGTTCCCCCATGCTTTGTCCAGTGGGTGGAATGGTTGTCCCAGTCAAGACAGGAGCAGCAATGTGTGTCCAAATGTCACTGGAACAGCGTGGAACGCAAAGATGGCGCAGCACCGGAAGTGATGACACCGAGGAGACGTCATTCCATACAGGGAGCGGTAACGCTTTTCAAAGCTTCCACTTCTTCATCAGACCCACAAATGGGAAACCTTCCACAATACTCCAAATGACCAGCAGCCAATATGAACACAAATATTAACCAACATGCAGCAAACAACCAACAAGGGGAAATGAACAAGCTGCCGGCTACTGCCCCCTGTACGGAGTGACGTCTTCTTGGTATCATCACTTCCGGTGCCGCGCGATCTTTGCGTTCCATGCTTTTGCAGCACCGCTGCTCCTGTCTTGACTGGGACGACCATTCCACCCACTGGACCACCACGGAAACCTTCCTCCGTGGTTTTTAAATGCCCAATCACATCTAATAGCGAGTTCTCAATTTGTTTATCTTTAATAAATGGAACTGTCAATATACTGAACTTAGTCTGGCGCCCGTGTTCTTTTCTCATGCAGCTTACAGAGCCTCGGCTTCACTCTGGAGGGTGCTGCCACTGGTGCCCATATACTATTCATTATATGGACAGTTTGATGGATTTTATGTTTTGATTGTATAACTATTTGCTCCTTCAGCACCCATCCCCCCCTCTCCTTTTTCCTGCCCTGGGCCTGTACAGCACCCTGCCGTCGGAAAAATACCTTGGTTAGTCAAACTGCACATCCAAGTCTCAACATAACGGGGTCCAGGTAGCAATCCATCTTAGTCTCTGGCTGTTGCAATGGATCCAGAACACCGATCCCTTAGTCCCTACAGGGACCACTTAGACCTGTTAAGGCTTGTGCAAGGAGCTACACAGCCGTGAACATCTTTCCACACTGGTGAAAATACTGAGGCTTACCTAGGAGGGTGGGGTTATATAGGGAAGGACTTCCTGTCTTTTGATTGCCTCCTGCTTTGGATAAAAAACATAGTCCCCCGAAAAAAGCAAGATATTAAAAAAACAAACACAAATCTTTGAAGTGGAATAATCCAAGCAGGTTTGGAGTAACACAATACAGGATGCAGAATGAAAAAAGAGTGGAAAATCTGGCTGACATCTTGAAGGATTCAGCCAACGCATCAAAGATGAATCCTGCCTCTCTGAATAACAATCAGTCACTCCAACAACTGTTCTCTAGGAGTTCCATATGGCAAATGTGATAGTAATGGACAAAGCCAAAATTCCATATTCATGACTAAACAAGTTTGTAGCTAAAGGGGCTTTAAATTAAAAATGGTAGAATCCTATGCTTGCTTAACTAGAATCTCACCCCTCATATCCATGGTATCTTTCAAGCAAGAGCTGCTTTCTTAGAGACCTTGAAGAGAAGCATCCAGGCTCAGACACTTGTTCCAGACCAGAGAAACACCGGAACCTCATCAAAGAGAAAATGTTTTAATTTGAGGATGGGGGGGGGGGGGGGGGGTCCTTTGGGCTTGCTCATTCCTGGAGTATGGAATATGACAAGAACCTGGATATCTAAGGTCTCATAAAATCGCTTTGATCAAGTCATCCATATTTTCCAGGAGCAGCTTAAAGTTGGATATTCTAGCAGAGTAGTGTTTATGGACAACACTCACATGAAGACACTAGCTGAAGAATCGTGGGGTCTCCAATATCTCCCCTAATGTGCTTCGGCAAATCTTCCCCTATAACTTATAGCACAGAAGCAGGGGACTTTGCCACTGCCCCTATCCAGCCTTCTAGCATGCCTGAAATTTTCAATTCAGCCAGAAGCGACCTGAAGGTATGGATGGTGGGAGCCAACTCTCAATTAAAGATAGGCGATTGCAGCAAACCGTGGCAGAATCATCCTTAAACAGACTACAGGATTGGCAGAAAGGTTTAATCTAGGAAGCCCCCCAATTTAAGAGCCACAGACTGCACATTTGTTTATGGAAGCATTTCCATTAATCTCATCAGGAGCATTAACCTGCAAGAATTTGAATACAGGATCAGGATGCTTGCACCCCCCCCCCCCCCCCCCCCCCCCCCCAACTTGGCTTAAACAAACTATTCAAAGTGAAAATAAACCTAGAGTTAGGCTTTAAGTCTCACCTTCTGACATCAGGATCTCAAGTCTCACCTACTTTCCATCCCAGGGTTCACTGATAGGAGCTCAGGCCTAGCTCAGAATACAGTGATGCCAAACACTTGGAAATAATTATCAGATTTTTGAGCTGGATACCAGCTTCAGGGCAGTAACAATACTCAGTAGGCCTCAATAAGCTCAATTCCATTCCATACTAAACCCGGGACCCTGCATTCACTATATCTGGTCTCCCACCGTACACACACAACATGGAAATGCAATTATGTTAGTAAACAAACTGCTAAATACCTTTTTTTTCCATCATCATTATATAGCAGTCTTGTGACTTGCATCATTGTCCAGCTGAGCACATGTTAAAGATTGTAGGAGTTTTCATTTTGCTCTAGGAGGATGCAGAACCCCTGACCTCTGTCTGGACAGTGTCGATTGGCCCTGTCCTGATCACATGCACTCTCCCAAGGAAAAAAAAAAAAAAAAAAAAAACCCCTTTCTAGCAATACACACCAAAACTGAGCATGTGCAGAGTGACTACACACGATAAGTCTCATCAGGAGATAAGTGGGGCACTGGAAGAAGGGGATGATCAGAGAAGTCTGGATCAAACCGCGTTTTTACAAAATGCAGAGGATGTTACCCTTAAGTTCAACAGTGAATATAACAATCATGCTTTACTGCATATACAGACTGATTTCACTGTTGTGGGTTTAGTAACACTAACTAAAAACTAGTATGTTTTGTTCATTTTCACATGAGTCTTTTTACACATATTCAGTATTCCACATATACATTTCTATTTAAAAAGACCTTGTCATCAACTAAAAAGACTGACAGTAAAAAACACAGAAATATCACTTCCCTTTAAAAAAGTTGTAGCTAGGGAGGAATTAAAGGGTATAGTGCCCCTTCAGTGGCAGCTCTGAGTCTACTGGAGCTATGACATCACATAGAAGACAGCAGCAACCAGCACCAGTCTTAGGGGTTTTGGATGTCTACACAAGGGAGTCTTTTACAAGTATAAAACATGCATTAAATGTTAAATGTACATATGATAAGACTGTTGAAATTAATAGTCTAGTCTCCTAGATTGTAAGCTCCTCCTAGATTGTAAGCTCGAAACAGCACGGCCCTCAATCCCCTCATGTTTTGCATTGTATTGGTATTGTTCTGTCACATGTTCTGTCCCCCATTGTAATGTACAGCGCTGAGCGAACTATTGGCGCTTTATAAATACTGTATAATAATAATAATAGTGAAAAGGTCTCTTCAAGGCAGCCTTTGCCAAAGGGCATAACACTGACAGTTCTTATTTCACATGCTTTGATAATAAAGGCTGCAGATCAAGTATCACAAAGATTGAAGCTCAAAAAAATACCACAAACTAGAAGGCAAGGTTTTAATACTTCATAAAAATGTACAAAAATATCCCAGTCAGGAGCGTAGTGCCACAGGGAGGAAAAACAAAAAAAATTACTGGATTAAAGCGGACAGAGGCTGTAAATAAAACGAATAAAAAAATAGGTCTTTAGTTAAATCAAACGTTTCAGTCCCCCTATGCTGCCCTCTTGCAGCCTAGCAGAGATTATGATGTGTGGTCTACACAAGGTACAGGCTTACAGGAAATCATGTGGCACATTCTGTTCAAAGGTTTTAAGGCAACTCTTTGAAATTAACATTAAAATTTACATCACTCTGCAAAGAGGCCCATATCTCCTCAAATGGAGATAATACTTTGTGTGCGAGTACTTTTTTTTTTCTTCTTTTTCTTTTATACAGAGCGTGGATAGTTGAGTGAATGGAAAGTAGAATTTCCTGTTACCAACTAAAATATGTCACATTTTATTGTAAACGTATTTGGTTATAAGGTATTATTGATCATCATCCAGCTGTTCCAGGAGGGTCCGCCTTCTCTTTTCCAACTCCCCTTCACTTAATTCACTTCCAGATGTGTCCCAGTTACCCTGCAATGTGGTCACGGAAAATCGTTAAATTAGAGACTGTGATTACAGGACATAAAATAATCTAGGTAGCTAGAAAGACACAAATAATTCAGTCCTGTATTCATTTGGAAACCGACATGATGTAATTTTAACATACAACTAGTGTTAAGTACATTCATTTGTCTTACAATTTCCTATATGGTAGCACTCAACCAAGGAAAGAAAATGGCCGAACTGGAAGCCAATCTGTGGGCTGCATGCAGATGTTCTAAAATGCTGGTTGGAGTCAGAGTGAGCAGAGCAGAATCAATCTCCTGCTGCTGATTGTTACAGCACTGTATTCTTTCTACAGTCTATAACTATCAGAAAAGCTGTGTGGCAAGATCTAATTTGCCTGGCTGTGCAGCAAGGCTGTGTAAAACTGGACTACTAGTCAATGTATTTAGCCATTTGTAATTTCAACTTTAAGCTGATCTCGAGCTTTACTTTCACTTTAGTTTGTTTGGGCCAAATTTGCTCAAATGAGCCACCTCCTTCACTAATGTGTGCCCATTGGGCGCTCTGTATAAACTGTATGTAATCTCAGCTACATACAGTATACAGCACTGTGTTCCTGTCTCACTCCTTGAACAAAATAGCATCAGGCTGAGTGGCGCTCAGCTATTCATAAGCAGCTTTGCATTCTATCAAAACTTCCTCTGATTAGCCGAGTCAGATAGACAAGCTGATGATGTTATGATCTCCAACTCAGCCAATGAAAGAAAGATTTGTATGCATTCACAGAATACAAAGCTGTCTATGAATGGCTGAGAACTGCTCAACCTGGGGCTTTTTCATTCCAGGTGTGTGACAGGAAGGTCTTGTCTCACACCCAGAGCACAGAACTGTATACTGTATGTAGTTGAGGCAACATACAGTTTATAAATCATGGCCAGCGGGTGCAAGTTAGTGAAGGAAATAGTGTTGGCCAGCTTGGCTGAAACAAACTTTTTAAAGTGAAAGTAAAGCTGGAGATCAGCTTTACAGCTGAATAGAAGGGACCTCCAACTACTTTTTCTGGGAAATATCTGAAGATAGGAATTTTGTAAAAAGAAGAGAATACTTACAGGACAGTAAGACAAAAAAATGCAGCTACTGTAAAGTCCACTTTTTTTAAATGTTTGTGTGACAAATAGTGAGCAAATTGTCTTGACTTTCTGTGACTTCAGATACTACAGAAGATACCCAAAGCCACAGCTATATTTAATCAGCAACTCTCCACTCATATAGAAGCAGACAACAGTTTGTGGTCCAAGGGGAATTATTAAAAGTACATCATTCAGTACAATACTGCAGAACTGTGACATCAGAAAACAAAAACACTATCCATAAGAAAATCGGCAGCTTATGACAGTATTTCCCCGCTAGCTAAAACTGAAAAAAAAACTTTAAAATATTAATTTTATTTGCTCAGCAACTAAATAAAATATTAAAATAAGAGAAGACTACACACTTACAGAATCTTTATCCTTTGTTGCTTTCCTTTTAGGAGATTTCTGTTTTGATTCTTTCTGCCTCGATCGTTCCTTGTCATCCTTGTCTCTGTCTTTTCTATCTCTGTCCCTCTCTCCTTCAGATTCTGGAGAATTCTGTTCATGTCACCACAAAAAGAACAAAGTGGTTAAAGAGAAGCTCTGGTCTAAACAAAGTATAGCTTCTAAAACATATAAGACGGTTAAGCCAGGCATCTGCTGCGAGAGCCGTTGGCTCCCGTTTCTGTCAATCACAGCCAGTGAGCCAATGAGGACAGAGTGGGGACGGGGCTGAGCCACGGCTCTGTACGTGAATGGACATGCAGAGCATTGGCTTGGGAGCGAGTTAGCTTGGGTGCCCCCCCATAGCAAGCTGCTTGCTCTGGGGGCACTTGGCAGGAGAAAGGGGCCAGAGTGCAGGCGGGGTACCCGAAAAGAGGAGGATCGGGGCTTCTCTGTGAGAAACGATTACACAGAGCAGGCAAGTATGATATGTTTATTTTTAATAAAACGCCTTTATCATCACTTTATACTTTCAACTATGGCTTTTTTTCTCAGCGCGTGGGTGCCTTTCCTTTAACTAGTACAAAATTTTCATCTGCTCACACAGGCCGAACAATAAGTTGAAAAATGTGTTTGATAAGAGGAAGCCCTACATGCAGTGTTAATTATTACATCAAATTTCAATTTAGTTTTAGTCATAGTCTTGACTAAAATGCCATTTTAGCCATCTGATTTCAGTTATAGTTGTATTTTAGTTATCAAAATAGTGTTACATTTCGTTCACGAAAGTATTTTAGTTGCGGAATTTAACACTGCCTAATTTGTGCCCATTTTCACTGGACTGTTACAGTGTTCAAACTGGCACACCCTTGTCAGACACTGGACCGTGTGTGAGGTGTGGGGATGGGCAGTGATTTTTCCAACTAAAGGGCTGTTTTATCTGGAATCATATTGGGATGTTAACATGATCAATAAAGAAAACTCAGCAAAAAAGATGTTGGCTCTGGATCGCACAATGGAATTTATGCCCACAGTTTTACATGGCATTCAATGCATCATGGTGTGTTCGTATAGTGGGCAGGAAGCTCACATTCAAAAGGTTCAAGAACACCTTAGTGTGTGAACAGAAGAGCAAAAACAGAGCACTCAAAGACAAAAGTTTCTAAAAGTTTATTCCATTAAAACAGTCTGATACACTCTACTGATATAGTCAACTTATCTCTGGGGCCAGAAGAGAACCCCCTTTATCAGGGCATGGAGTTAAAAAGAGAACTGACTCAGGGATTGAGGTGAAAATTTAATTGGAAAAGGTACAACAAAAGTGGCATGCTCATCAGAAGTTGGTTGTAGCAAGCTGACTGTGACAACTAGCTGCAAGCAGCTGCTGAGGAGCATGCAGACTTTTCCAGTTTTACTTTTCATCTAAACCCTTAGGTCAATCCATATAATTCCACGCTCTGGTGAAGAGCGTGCTGTCTGTCATAGAAACCGCATCAGACGTTTCAATTTAATATCTATCACACATATATATATATATATATATATATATATATATACACACACATATATACACACATATACACACGCACACACATATGCATACATACACTTTTTTTTTTTTTTTTTTTTAACGGACAGGGGTTCTAACCCTTCAAACAAAAAGTGTTTGACTTTAGATGAACATTAAGAGTAAAGTGACTATATAAAGTCTAGTCTTTGTACAGATAGCACGAAGTTCATCATCCAACTAACTCTACATGATATTATACATTATGAGAGTACATCTTCACAGGAATCCATCTCTACCACTGAGCTAGGAGTAGCCTCAATGCTAAACATTCTATCATAATAAACTACAGCACAAAATAAAATACTAACGTTACACATGAGACATGGGAAGAAAAATTTATATATCAAGAAAAAAAAGAAAAAGCCTTGTATAAACACTTTTTGAAAAAAAGAATCACGCTTACAGATTTATGTCTTCTCTTCTTACTCTTCTTTTTGTGCTTCTTTGTCTTTTTATAACTTTTTTCTGTCAAAAACAAGAGAGAATGAATTAAATATATGGACACGTCATTTGAACTGTAACATGAAAACACAGTAAGACATGAATTAAAATCTGTGAAATTAAAAGACTACTGCCTTGGTTAATATGCTTCCTGTTAGACTCCCATACAATATTGATGTATAGTTTCTTACAAAGTAATTCCCGTTGAATGCCGAGCCAACAATTAAGAGACTACATGATGTGCTAGAGATCAAATAAAGTATAACTAAAGGCTTAACTTTTTTTATTGTATCTTTTATTTTGACTAGAGTGGAAGGGTATTCGAGCACCTGTCAAGTTTTTTTTTGCTGTCTGTGCCCCCGTTAGGGAGATTCACCCACTGTGAGTGTCCTGTTAATTGTTACTACAAAGTGAAGGTGAAAGAAAATCACAAATTTTTGGTTGTCACCAGAACAAGAATAGACTCTTCCAATGTGGACACTAGTTCTGGTGACAAGAAATGTACTGACACTGGATGGATTTACTTTCCCTTCCTGTTTGGCAAAAAACTAATGGAAATGGAACACAGATAGCAGAAAAATATAAACTCCACCTGACAGGGATTATAATCCTCCCTCACTCTATCCAAAATGAAGAGAAAAAAAAAAAAGTTGTCCCAGGTGGCTGAAAAATATTAGGCATCCAACACACCTCTGGAGGTGTCAGATGTCTGGCCCCCATTGTGCTCTGTGGTTTATTCAGCTGACCCCGACATCAGAAAAGTAATGGAAAAACCTGTAGAATGAACCACAATGCTCAGTGATGGACCAAGCATCAGATATTCCCAAAATGAAGATTCTTCAGCCACTGTAGCTCTTCAAAAGCAGGGAACGCTGGAGCTGTAAGGCATCCTTATTTTCAAACTTTTACTCTAGTAACATTTTCTTTAGGCAAAAATAATGCAATCTAAATTTGATTTCAGATTTGGAGACAAGGTTCCCCTACCGCAGGGCTCTCCAGGATCCTGGCAGGGACATCGCCCACCACCTCTCAAACACCTGTTAAAACAAACTGGTTCTGTTTTTTTCTTAGCAGTAGCAAAAGAGCAGCACAGATTAAACTTTTCTGCGTCATGTGCCTCTCTGGCAGTTCTTCCAAACTCACTCAGGCTGATTACAAATTCCTCAAGCCATCAAGTGGAACAAGATCACCAAAGCGCTCTAAAAATACATGGTTTGGGCAGTTAAATCCTGATCCCTTCCACCAAAATTTTGAAGAGAGCTAGTGTCTTGATCAGTCTTTAGTTTCCTAAATGCTGTGGAGTCACACCAAATCATACTGGGATGAAAAAAAAAACAAACAAAAAAACAAAAACGGTTTTATACTCTCCCATATTAATAATATGGCAGATTTAAAGTTACCCGATTCTCCACTGGAGGAATGTTCAGAGCCAGACCGGGAGTCTGATCTTTGCCTTTTCTTTTTTGTGTGGTTCTCCTCTTCTTCCTCAGATTCAGAACCCTGAAAAGAATCAAAACATTAGCAATCTTCCAGTTAGAAAGGAAACAAGTACTTTACATAAAAAATAGTAAAGAAAAATTATTGTGCCCCTTTCTAAAATGGAAAGATGGATATGCAGTACTGCCAGTGTTGTCTGAGCAAGCTGCTGAGCCTTCCATTTGAGTTTTCATTCGTGAAACATCCTCCACTTCTTTTCCTCGTTTTTTTATCTAACTACTCAAGAATGCTAACCGCACTGACTGAGCAGCTCCACTATGTGGCAGTGTTACAATATAAACTGTGCTTACTGAACAGGGATTATACAAAAAGTTCACAAATACAATAGCTGCAAGCCAGTACTACTCACTGAGCGCGAGCGAGACCTCTTCCGATGATGCTTCTTTGATTTTTTTGAGTGCTTCTTGTTTTTTGAATGATGATGTAGACATTCATGCTTAGAACAAAAAAAAAAAAAAAAAAAAAGGATGTGCAAATTACTAAAGTAATACAGTATTAAAGTAACCAATATAAAAAAAAACAAAACAAAAAAGTCATGTTGAAAGGTGCAGTAAATATTTTTCAAAAGGGAACACGAGTTGTTAGGTCAACCCAAATATATAAATCTTGTTTTATATTTTTCATTTCACAGATATTTATATGAGAAAGAGAAAAGGTAGCAGAGAAGACCAATTTCTTAGAGTCAGTGGAAGGCCACGTTCAGATAAGAGCATAGCGGGTACGAGCATTCCTGCTACGTGACTGTCACGTGATTCTGCATGTCACATAGTGCCACCAGCCCATACACTTGAAAAGGCTGCCCTATGCGTTTGTTACCTGAAAACTAGCACCTGCTCTTTTTTGGGCACCAAGCTTCACAGATTTTTCAAAGGTGCGGTTTGCTGCATGTTAATCGTGGCAGAATCGCATCATGTTTGGTATGCCATTAAGGATAACGTATGGCGCGTTGTGCAGCAATATGGAATCACAGGCAGAATCCAGGCGATTCTGCCTGCCATTACAAATTGCAAGATGTGACCAGATGTAAACTGATCTCTCAAGTATATTTCACATAGAAGATTTTCACCCCATCACGCCAACCTCACTGCACTAGGCTTTATGCCATGGGGCTGCATATTTGTATATCGGGACCCAGAACTGCCGATTCTGGGTCACCTGATCTCTGTGATAGCCTCTGAATGGCTATCACAGTGATCAGTCATTGTGAAGCCTGCCCCTGTGTTTTCTCTCTCTGAATGGAGGAAAGAGATACACTGTATCTCTGTCCTTTTCAAAGAGAAAAAAAAAAGAACAGAATGTAAAATAAAAAATTTTTTAAAAAGAAAAGAAAAAAATACCTAGATCAATGTTTCATCTAGGTCAGTCCCAGGATTAGTGTTTGGGTCAAGTAAGGGTCAATGATCAAGGTCAGTATTTTTATTTTATTTTTTTAAATTAGTATCAGTGTGTTTTAAGTAGGACAAAATAAGTAAAAAAAAAAAAAAGCAAAATGTGCACTATTGTTTCTGGGCTTTACTACGGGTAAAGACATATGTGCCATAGCTGCGATATACACACACACACACACACACACACACACACACACACACACACACATATATAGAGAGAGAGAGATATATATATTTTACTATTTTGGGCCATTTATCCTTTGATAATGAAAAAAAAAATTCAGGGTAATCCATTACCTATCACCACTAATGAAAGCCCAATTTGACTTGAAAAAAACAAGGTATAATTCACCTGGGTGTACAAAGTAGTTGTGATATGTACAAATTTACTAACACAAGTCAAATTGCAAAAGAGTGCTCAGGCATTCAGATTTGTTTTACCCAAAGGAGTGACGGGGTTAAACCGGATGTTTAATCTACTGAAAAAATGGTCTTCCCTTGTTCCTTCCTTCCTCGTCATCAACATACTAATGACAAATACAATAAAAACTGTTTTTTCATAACATATTGTACCTTATTTTAGTGATGGCTCTCTTTAGTTCACTATGCAATGCAGGCAAGATCATGCTGATGCCAACAGGTTATGTACATAGCTTCCTGAAAACCTCATAGTACCCTGCCCTCCTGCCTCAGTACTCCTCTCAAGAGCCCTCAGCCCTGATGCAAGCATGCCCAGATGGATGGGTGTTAGTCTGGAGGATTGGACATTCCTAGGCTAACTGCATTTGCACACAGTTCACTCTAGGCAATTCAAGCAAGTGACCCTGAGGCTCCATGATTAAAAACTAAAATGTAATTAATGAAAGGGGTGGGTCAGGGACAGACAGACTGAGGAGGAAAATAACTTGAGTGATTTTTTTCTGACATCCTGTTTTATAAGCAGCATTTTCTATAGTGCCCTGAAGCTACAAAACTGCAGGTCAAGTGTTGCTATATTAAAGTAAACCTGCCACATAACTGGGCAATTTAAACTGAATGGTTAAAAAAAACAAAAACAAGCAGAGGTTACGTTCATCAAAACGGCCAGCAAATCCAAATTTAGGCAGACGAAGTTATATGCAAGTCTTAACTTTCCCCTGGATATTGGGGGGATTTTGCACAGCGCAAAATTAAGCAACTGGAGTTTGCCATTTGAACTGGAATGCTTGGAACAAACTTGCTAAACCTGGATTTTTTAAAATTGTCTAAAAGATGCAGACTTTCTAAATATTGCAATATTTCCTGAAGCGTCTTAGCAGTGTCTTTTGCTTGGAACCACTCTAACTGATAGAAAACCCCCTGCGCTTCATAAGACTTTGCAGTACAGACCAAGTTAGCTGAGATTAAAGCTCTAAAATTTAGTCTGCCATATAAAACATGGTTCAAGCAAGGTGATGATAATGACGTGATGTAGCAGTTATAAAAAAAAAAAGTTACCTCTATGGCATGGACAAAATCTCTAAATATCCTTTTCCGTTCTGCTTCCAGTGTGATATCTTCAAATGCTGCCTCTTTATTGAACCTTTCCCGAACCTTAGGGGAAGACAAGCAAAAAAACATTAAGTTCAGCTTAGTAAAATAATCAGCAAAATATAAAGAGGAAGGCACTAGATGGTCCGCTTATGAGGTAGAAAGGAACTGTGGGGCTCTCCATTCAAACCTGCAAAACCAAGCACCAATCTCTGTACTAGCTTTGCCATCCAGTATGGCTGGACCCAGTCATAGACAGAATGACATCATGATAAAGCCACAGGAGTGGCATAATAGGAAGCAACAAAAATGTGAACTGAAGTGCCACATGACTGCTAAAAAAGTCCAGATATAATTTTATACAAGTTAAGGACAGTGGGGCAATCAAAAAGAGTATCCAGCGTGTTTCGGGGTTCAAAAAAAAAACTCCCCCTTTCTCATGGCTTGAGACAGAAAACATTGTATAGACTGGAAGTTAACAGGACCTTTAAAAGGTACAGACCCTGTCAGCAGCTGGTTTGGCAACCGAACCTTTGCACTAGCTTTCCCATCTGGAATCGGAACACCCCATGTTACCACAATGGTAACATAGTACAAATAGTACAACAAAGCAATGATCCAAGTATTAGGAGTGTTACAGAAAAAATACGCCTAACCGATGTAATGGCCACCAGGAAGGCAAGCTTACATGTGAGGTCTGCCAAAAGAATCCAATTGGTTCAAAGGGGGTTCTTTGAAGAGCACCAAGTTGAGATCCCAAAGCAACATGGGGGGGGGGGGGGGGGGGGGGGGGGGGGGGTCGAATTGGGTGATTTGTATCAGCAATACCCTGAAAGAGAGTCTTTACTAGGGAGTGGAAAGCAAGTATTTTCTGGAAGAGAGTGGATATGGAAGAAAACTGTCCCATAGGGGTAGTCAGGGCCAGATGTTGGTCAAGACCAGACCAAAGAAAAGTCAAAATACAATCAACAGAGCATTCCCTAAGACTCATTTGCCTGTCCTCACATCAGGCAAAGTAAGGCTTCCATGTTCAACGTTAGATCTTGCTGCAGGGTAAGGTATTGATAACTGAACCAGAGATACCCTTGATCCCTCAGGACCTGAGTTTCAACAGCCATGCTGTTAAAGCCAGCAACTGAAAACAAGGTGGAATAAAGGGGGCCCTGCGCCAGTGATTTTGGTCTGTTTGAAAGAGGCTAAGGCTCATCCGTTATGAGTATGTTCGTGTACCACTTCCTTCTGGGCCAATTCAATGGGAATCACGTTGGATGTACATACCCTCAAACCTGAGAGTGTGCACTTTCAGCCCATATCCATTATATAACTATAGCTTGAATTTTTTTGGTCAATACCTGAAAAAAACTAAAATTGTGCCTGTGTCCAAATATATATGGTCCTAACTGTAGGTGGCAGAGAGAGCTGGAATGTGAATTTCTGCCCAGATGATCAAATTTGTTTCCCTTAGCGCAGCTGGACTTCTGGTGCCTACCTTGATGGTTTATGTAGGCCACTGCTGTGGCATTGTCTGACTGAACCCTGACTGGACAGTCTCTAAGTTTGGCGCTAAGTTTTGAAATATTGATGGGGAGTCTCTACTTCTGAGGACCAGGTTCCCCCTGTATGGTAAGGCTAGCATCTGGTTGTCCCCACCTTCCAGGGCAAGAGAAGGAAGATCTTTCCAACTCCAAGGCAGATTTGAGATCCACCATGACAGGGAGAGACCTGTCTGGCTGGAAGGATGCATAGGATGGTGTAGAGAGTAGATCTGATTGTTCCAAGATGTGAGGATGTTGAGTTCAAGTGGGATATTCTGTGTCTCTCAAAGGAGGAGAAAGAAATAAAAAGTCTAAAACAGCACTTGCTAGAGAAGTATTTGGGCTATTCTATACACATTTTACCTCTTCCCATACAGAGTCCGCTTCAATGGGTGGTGCTGCTTGTTTTAACATACTCTTGAAAGCAGATTCTTTTCGTTTCATTTTCCGGGCCTCTTCCTTCTCACGCTCTCTCTCCCGGGCCTCTGCTTTCTCTAAAAGCTAAAAAAAAAAAAAAAAAAAACACCCCACAAAATTAGGAATTACAAACATACACTATAATACTGTAATAAAGCTGACAAGGAAGCTTTATCAGTATCTCTAATCTAGAAAGACTAGCTCATTAAAAGATAGGTTCACCTTTAACATGTAAATGCCCCCAATGCTGCAGCCGCTGCCCCCCTCCTTTTGACAGAAGTATAGGGAGAAATTCCCCGTCCTAGCTGTCACTTTTTAAAAACAGTTCGGCTGTGTGTGGTGAACTAATCCTTTAACCCATATACACTATAAATGTATGATAATCACAGAATGAACCATTTACAGATTAAAAAAAAAAAAGTCTTTAAAAACTGCAGAGTTTCTCATATCCTTGGAATCAATAGTGTGGCTGGCAATCCAATGATTTGATATATGAAGAACAGAACCCATAAAATGAACCCATAGAAAAGTTTTTTAAAGTCTGGGCTCTCAGTGAAAACTTTAGGACATCCAATAAAACACCACATAGTTTTAATGTGATCTGTATTACCCACTAGCATCTTGAAAATCTGTATATACACATACATACAGTATTACTTGCCATAAATAAAAATAAACAGTGGCCCCAAGCTCCTTTATTTGAGCCTAGAAGTCTAGATTACATGGTGTATGGTTACCAGGAGCACTGGGATTGGTTCAGTTCATTACAAATTGTAGAGGATCCACGCTTTGTAGTCATACTGATAGACTTTCAGTGAAACCATGAGGACCTGAAGCAAATATTGAATGTAATGAACACATAGTATGTGCATTGCAATGCAGGCCCATCAGCACTTGCTGTGCACTGGGGTGCCATCTGGAATGAAAAGCACCATGGTGCACATAGCATTTTCTTTCATTGCATATTGGGGTAAAGCACGCATTTAACTGTGTTAGCATAACACACGGGGTGAAGGGGGCTTTAAGGCAAGAGCATACATCAATCATGGGTGTCTGAACTTCACAGGCACAAAGGTGTGTAAGGACCATTAGACATCACTAAGTGTGCCAAACAGGCCTGGGACACTCCATAAAAGAGAAAACAGGTGGCTTTGTAAGTGATCAGAACCTCTTCGTAATATGAAGCACACACAAAATCTGAGTTTTCGTTTAAACTTTTAGAGATCAGCAAGAGTCAAAAGGCAGTCATGTTCTATGAATTAGCAGAAAGACCAAATAAAAAAAACAATTTCATTATAGTAGCATTTTCATTGATGAGGAAGTACATACACTTTTCCCCTCCTAATGTTCCAAGAAATCCAATTTCCTACATTCTTCACAGCTGTGCTCTTCAAAATTGTTTTGCACACAAAGTGCCTGGAGTTTGTTCAGTCATCAGTTTCAGACTGACAGTTGTAAGTGGTTTGATTAATGTGCATATGTAAATTAGACACAGCACATACAAGCAAGATTAGATTCGGGGAAAATATAATTCTGGTAAAATATACACCGCCTGCTACACTCTGCGCAACAATTAATCTAGAAAATTTGTTCTTCTGTTCAACAAGCAAATGAGAATTGAACATTTAGTACAGACAGCATGCATTGTAGCCATTTGTGAATATTAAAACAAAACAATAATTCAAAGTCTAGACAAGTCTATTTTTCATCTTACCTAAAAATTAAAAAGGCTCTCCCAGTCAAATGAATAACCTTATGTAAAGAATTACCAAGAGCCGATTTTCTATTTTGTTCTCCCACTCAAAGCTAGTCGTCAAGTATATCTAGCACGCCTGCCTGGTCTTTTTCCTAAATCTGCACTTATAGTCGAAGGATCAATAATTCCTAACACACTCAAACGCCACTTGGAACTTTACTCTCAATCAACTGCAGGATCAGATGGATTACAGAAGTAAATGCTACATGAATCATCTTCCCTTACTCAAGATGGCCACGGCCAGAAATGCTAGAGGGTGTTTTTCAAAGTGATTTCTCAGCAAAATAAAGCATGGAGAAATGGATGGATGGGGGTGTTTGCTTGAGTATTAAAACTGAAATACATAGTGTTTTTGGCTTATGGGCTCAGATAAAATGTAGATCCACTTAAACTTGCTGAAACATGGAGAGACAGTCATCTTGCCAATGCAGGGCAAAGTGACAGTGTGTCTGCAAAGGGGCCCCTTGATTGCTAATACGTATCATGCCTGCACTGAAATTATCTGTGGTGGCGACCTAGGGAAGAAGTGACATTACCCCCTTGGACAATGTAATGGCGCATGGGCCTAGTGATTGCTTTCTAGGTTTGAAAGCTGTCACAGGGGAGTGGGTCCCAGGCTTCCCCATACCCGTACGATCCCCTTTCACACTGCTCCGTTGAAAAAAAAAAAAAACACAGTAAATATGTATATACATTTTCTGGTTACCCGACTCCAAACATGCACCTATGAAACATGGACATGTGACTCAAAAAAAGCACACAAAACATAACCGCAGTGCGTTTTTCATGCATTTTCAATACATTCCAATGGAGAGATGCATTTTCTGTGCGCTTTTTAAACATGCACAAAAATATAGCATGGAGAAAAGCATTGCACCTGCACCACATTCGTGTAAAGAGTTCCACAGGATTTAAAGGGATACATTTGTTATGTATTTTTATTCTGCTTTTTTTAACACCAAAAGTGCATGAAAAACTGATCAGTGTGAAAGGGCCTCTAAATTTCAGGTACAGTACTCATCTGAGAGAGAAAAGAACGGTAAACAAGGCAAGTAAAAGGGGGTCGGGGTGTTTTTTGTAGAGACACTGTCGTTTTGCCCTGCCCACAAGAGAAAGCAGTGCAAAGCAACTGGACTGATGCACTGTGAACACAGGAAGTTGGCTGCTCAGTACAGGTGCCATTCAGAGATTGCGTTGCATCACACGCCCCACCTCATCCAGTTGGAGGACACTTCCCATTCATTCAGATCATTAAAGGATAAGTTCACCTTTGGGAACATGTTACATGTTACACCCATTTTTAGGGTGGAACATGTAACTTGTTCCCTCCCATAGCCGCAGCCGTCCCCCCCTCCCTTTGACAGATAGTATGGGAAAAGTCTCCCTGTACTGTCAAATTTGAAAAAGCATGGTTGTGCAGGGCTTCGCCCACACGGCTGCATCATTCATTCACGGACTTCCGTAAATGAATGAACTGCAAGTCCCAACAGCTTTAGTGGCTGTAGGCTTGTAGTTTTCAATGAACTACCACAGCATTGTGAAGCAGGAGACCTGTATGGCATCAGTGACAAAAATAAACAAAAATAGACAAAAATAATAAAAGCACATTTTTTTACTTGCAAAAAAAAAAATGTGCATTTATTATTTTTGTCTAAAAGGTGAACTTATTTTTTAACCACTTGCCTACTGGGCACTTATACCCCCTTCTTTACCAGGCCAATTTTCAGCTTTCAGCGCTGTCGCACTTAGATTGACAATTGCGCGGTCATGCAAGATTGTACCCATATGAACTTTTTATAATTTTTTTCTCACAAATAGAGCTTTCTTTTGGTGGTATTTAATCGCCGCTGGGCGCTTTACTTTTTGCGCTATAAACAAAAAAAGTGCAAAAAATTTGAAAAAAGAAAATTGTCTGTTTCTATTATAAAATTTTTCAAACAGGTAGGCGGCACTAATGAGGTGGCACGGATAGACGGCACTGAATGGCATCACTGCTGGGCACTGACTGGCGGCACTGCTAGGCATTGACTGGCGGCACAGCATTGATGGGCACTGGTGGGTGGCACTGCTGGGCACAGGTGGGTGGCACTGCTGGGCATCAGTGCCCTGATGATCGGTGCCGATCCCTGCTCTGACAACTGCCGGTTCTCGGCAGTACTTTCCTCGTGCTCTGACTGCATTTCCCGGTGATCAGCGTGTCATTGGACACGGCTGACCACGTGGTAAAAGGCCGCTGTGATTGGCCTTTTACCACATCACGTGATCAGCTGTGTCCATAGGACACAGCGATCACGGAGATCGCCGGGTGCACGCCCCCGGGGGCGCACAGGAGGACGTCATATGACGTCCTCCCAGAACTGGCCGGCCGCAGTGTAGCGGTCATTCGGCTATCTGCGGTTGGCAAGTAGTTAATGAGCAACATTGTTACCCGTGGCTGTGCACTCCCTCTGCAGACAACAGAATGAGGAACCAATGCACAGTTCTCTAGAATGTTCGATCTGCCATTGCTGATATGATACAGAAAGGTTATACAGCATCGCTTACCACCTTTGTGGTGCCTGCATTCTTCACTTGCAAGTGCAAAAAAAAAAAAGAAAAAAAAGGGAATTGTGGTCCACAATTCCTCTCCGACATAGGCAAAGGAAGTGCTCAGACCTAGATGCAGAGACATGCAAGATGCTGAGAACATTCAACACAAGAAAGCAAATAAATTAGCAATTAGAAGAGAAAATACTGAGTGAACCTGAAAAAATAAGGAGGTAAAGCTAGCATTTTTATAATTACATGTAAAGACATCAATGACTGCAAAAAGATACAAACTTACACTGTTGAAGGCAAGTTTGATATTTCCAGCATCTAACGTGGTGGCTCTCTTTGTTGAGCTAATAACCGTGACAAAATCTTCAAAGCTTGTCCGAAGCTCAACTACAAAACCTTTATCCTGAGAGGAAAGCAGAAAACAGAATAAGATGACACTGACAATGTGTAACCATGTTTTAGACAGAGTTTGCAATGCAAGCTAAATTTCAGTGAATGTAATTAATGAAAGAAAACTTGTTAGTCACCTGAATTCTATTATGAGGGAGGAAAAGGCTCCACTGATTGTAGGCTGGGGTGAGGGAGGTCACAGTTCTTTTGATGTAAGCTTTAAAGGGGCTCATTATTTTAATTTGGTGCGGTCTGTGGAGAGGTTGCTCTACCACAGTGCTGTAGCAGTTAAGGATTGTAGTTTTGGGACTAGTGTTCTACTGTTGGTGAAAATGCATGTAGGAGGGCCATTTTAAACAATGGTGGGTGTAGTGGTTGTGCACTGGGGTGCCATCTGGAATGAAAAGCACCATGGTGCACATAGCATTTTCTTTCATTGCATATTGGGGTAAAGCACGCATTTAACTGTGTTAGCATAACACACGGGTGAAGGGGGCTTTAAGGCAAGAGCATACATCTCTTAAGGATTGTAGTTTTGGGACTAGTGTTCTACTGTTGGTGAAAATGCATGTAGGAGGGCCATTTTAAACAATGGTGGGTGTAGTGGTGGTTCTCTCAGTGGGAAAGCACAGGCTAAAGCTCAAACCTACCCTTAAAATGTCTTTGATGATCTTTTTCTCATCATGGTATCGAGCCTTCAGACCCTCCACATAGAATTTGAATAAGTCTAATGCTGTGGAACCTGTTAAAATCAAAATGAGTTAATTTGAGAAAACAAAATGTCAGGACAAGCCTTAGATGTATTTAAGCACAACACATCCCACTAATAAACATTACATGAGTAATGCATGCATAAAAAAAAGAAAAGAAAAAAGGTCAGTCATTCTCAAAAGGGGCAAATAAGCCTGAAAAAAAAAATAAATAAAACATACAAAAACATACAAAGGCTGCTATATATTAAATAGCTACTCAAAATCTTAAAACCGCTTTTGTTGGAAATCCGTGGAAATTGTAGATGCAGTTGTCAGTATTGTCTACATGACTACTGAGACTGTGAATACGCAGGCCAGAACTTATTGCAGTGCTGCATGCTATTCTATTTCCCCTAAACTCCCCTCATCAGAGTACAGCCCAGGTACCCTGCCACTCTCCCTGGTTAATGGTCTACTGTAACTTAGGAGTGCGCTTCTGGGTTGTTTTTTTAAAGTCAACTATAATACAATTGTATATAAAAAATAACTTTTTTCACAAACTGTTCATTTCGGTTTCAGACAAATGCATCCTAAATTTTCAGTTCAAGAATCTTCCTTTCGGTGCACCATTAATATACAGTATATCGCCAATGTACAGGCTAAGAGGTTTATATGAATGGAGAACTGCAACACATGCAAATAAATTGCATTAAAAACAGTGCTACTTACATAAAGAAACAACCCATATAAGCAAATAAGGAAGTAACAAGGAGAACACGAATTGTATTTTAAGAACCCAGATGTACTGTATCCTCTCCTCCTACTCTCACATCTTGCCTATTGATCTAAATTAATCACTATTTTTTCCTTTATGGACTTAAATACACTTATCCTTTCCAGTGTATTGTGGTATTACACAGTTGCCACACAATGCACTTTCCATGCATTAGCATATTGTGATGCCATTCATTTTCAACGTCACCCCAACACATTAAGGCAAGGCAACTCTGATGCACATATACATTGCAGCATACCAGAATGCCCAGTAATGCACTATAGATCATTGTGCTGTGCGGTGTCAGAAAATATGCTTCACGTCTGTTGGTTTTGGTGTGTTGGCAGCTTATTCATTTGGTGTGGCTACCTTAATGCAAAGCATTTGAATTGGTCGCCTTAATATAACAAGCATTAACAATACACCAGAACAGCATAGTGTGAATGTGCCCCAAAATGACAGCTTGGTTTAATTCTTTCAGGGCGGTATAAAACAGCAGGAAATCAGCTGTGCATTTAAAACTACTGTTCATGTCATCTTCATTTTAAACATTTTTCAGTCCATAAGACTTATTTTAAAACAGAAACAATTCTACTTGCAACTTTCATCCAAGGAGGCTTTCAAATTTGTGAAACAAGCAAATGCAATCTAGATCAAGATCACAGTGCAAGTTAAATTGGCTAGCTACTGCATAAAATCCAGGCAAAAAGCTATGTTCGAGTCCCACCTCCTGTAATTCAAGTTTAAACCTTTATGTTTGCTGTATTCCCAATGAACAATCAGTATATGTATGCACAGAAATTGTGGCGGTAAACACTTGCAAGTAATTACCTGGCTGACCAAGCATGTTGGCAAATCGAATGTCAGAACTGATTGTGGGGTACAACTCCATCCAGGATGACATTGAATGTAAGTGACCATGTTCATGTAATTCATCTAAAAACACCTAAAGAAAATAATTAAAAAAAAAAAAAAGAATCCACATTATAAATAGCAAAATATAGTTGCCATCAACAGATATCCTAGTCATTAAAGTGGAAGTTTAGTCAGAAAATTAAGTGCTGCTATATCACTTCAGACTGACCCCTTTTGCAGGTATAGCTATGTAAAATAAAAATCAGTGCCTTAACGGTTTAAAATCCAGTAATACTCTGTCTCACCCTGTTCTGCACATACTCAATTACCCTCTATTTTTCAGCACTGTGCCTAAATATCACCAGAGGCAATTTACAGCACACAGTAATGTTGGAAGCATAATTAATAATGCAGAATGGATATTCCTTGATAAACAACATTATTTTTTTTATCAAGTTATAGATGAAGCTTTAAGTAGAAATATAAGCTGCCACTGCCAATTTGATTTTAAAGCTGTAGGCTTCAGAGTCGTCATTACAACTTTGCCCTATTTGGCAAGTTCGAGACCTTCAGCAAAGGCAACAGCCTTATTTCTATCAGACAAATTTTTCACATGAACTGCTAAATATGCTCCTAGTGTCAGAAAGCAAATACTTAAAGTGATTCTAAAGTTCATTTTTTTTTAATTTTAAAATATCTAACAACATGTTATACTTACCTGCTCTGTGCAATAGTTTTGCAAAGACCAGGCGTGATCCTTCACTCCTTCTGAGTGCCCCTATAGCAAGCGGCTTGCTATGGGGGCACTCGTGCTGGCACGATTACAAGCCATGCTCTGTGTGTCTACTGACACACACAGTGCGGCTCAGCCCCATCCACTGCTCAGACTGATTGACAGCAGCAGGAGCCAATGCCTCAATGTGCAGTGAAGGGGGGGGCGGGGAGGGGGAAGCTGCTCATGCAAGGTTTTTTTTACCTTAATGCAGAGAATGTATTAAGATAACAAACCTTCGGATTTTAGAGCCACTTAAAAAGACAGTGCCTCTTGCTGGAGTATAGATCATAAGGAAGTAGCAACAATTTTCTTAATTTCCAGCTTCTTACAGAAAGAACATACACCCAAATCAGTCTCCCTGGATTCAGCAATGAAGGATATAGAGGGAGAGGAGGGAAAGTTAACCTGGAAAGATTCTCGATTCTTCCTCTGTCGACGTCTTTCCCTTAGTAAAGTTTTTTGTTTCTCTTCCTCCTCTTCCTTTTCCAAAGCCCGAATATGCTCTTCAAAACATATCAAGGCATCTTCTTTATCCATATCTGAGAAAAAAAAAAAAAAAAGTGTTTATTTTCAAATTATACTGCAATATGAGAAGTATATCATAGGTACCTCTACACCAGGGGTGCTCAACCTTTTGCAGTGCAAGGGCCACTTAAGTGATTTGGTAACCAGTCATGGACTATGGCCTCCTCCCAAACCGCAAATGTAAACGAGCCCCCTATAAGGCTGCTTTCACACTGATTATGCTGTGCAGTTTACCCACACCACAGTGCACCTACGTCTATAGACTTCTATTACATTTTGCGGGTGTGGTGCACATTCTGAAATACACAAACTCCTGCTTTCAAAAAATGCACCAAACCCTCAGGATATAATAGAAGTCTATGGATCAGTGCTGCTAACTCGCAGGAAACCCGCAGGTGCACTGTGCTGCAGATCAATGTGAAAGCAGCCTAATGGCCTTTTTTTTTTTTTTTTTTATAGGTGACTCTGATGTTCTGTGATGGCGGGTCAGCAATCCATTGATCGCCATTTGGGCTTGCCAACCCGCCATCCCAGAGCATGGGCATGAGCTTTCCTGGTTTGAGGTTGCAGGCCCCTGGTTAAGCATCCCTGCCCTACATAGAAGTAAATTAATATTTGCATGTTGGTGAAATAACCGAGGAACACTTTCAATTTTCTAATCATTGTGCACTTATCTGATCTAGGTGTAGACACAGCCACCTGATATATTTGCATATGCCATACTAAACAATGTTGTGTCCTTATATGGAGAGAAGTAATTTACAGAAACCAAATTATACTCAATAGCCTGCCTCACATACTTAAATGCATGTTACTTTTGGGTAATGGTTTAACTCCAGCCTTCAGTCTTGCACAGTGTTCTCCTATGTACTGAAACAGAATACTCTGAACTCACTGCACACTGAGCTTCTCACAGTGTGCAATGACAAGCTGCAGAGAGTTGGACAGAGCAGGTTTAATTTCTTGGCTGGAGAATGTCCAGTATCATCTAACGTTCTCTCACCATCCTGTCTATCATCCATCACTTATATTAACTGGATTACAGTTCTTTAAATCAGAGGCTCAGCATCACATGGATGTTACCCAAGGCAGTCTGCATGCCAATGTAGCCTGCCTAAGAACACCTTCAGCCTCAGACTGATATCCACCCAACAAGGCATTTTGATATTTGCATAACTCCACCCAAGAGCCAGCCCACTGCTTGCACCAGGGCTGAGGGCTCTTGAGGAGTACTGGGTGCTGTGACATTTTCAGGAGGCAATGTAGAGCACCCCGTCACCAACTACAATCTACCTGCATTGCAGAGAGACGCATAGAGATTCAGTGATGGCATCACTGAGCCAAAAATAATGTATGTAATGAAAATGGAAATATTTAAAAATGTAATTTGCATGTTCCTGGGTTGGGGTTTGGGAGGAACCAGAGAAGGCAAAAAATAGGCAGATTAACCACTTGACAACCGGACTATAGCCGAATGATGGCTACAACGTGGTTGTCCAGTTCTGGGAGGGCGTCATATGAAGTCCTGACAGAACGCACCCTCCTATGTGTCCCCAGCGGACACAGCTGATCATGTGCTGTGGAAAAAGGCCAATCTCAGCGGCCTTTTACCACATGATCAGCTGTGTCCAATGAAACAGCAGATCACAAGGTAAATGCAGTTGCCGGCTGCACTTTTCTACCACTGTCACAGCGTGAGAAAAGTACTGCTGAGAACCAGCAATTGTCAGAAAAGACATCAGCACTGATCATGAGGGCACTGATCAAATTTTTTGCTCTTTTTTTGTTTATATCGCAAAACAATAAAACACCCAGTGGCGATTAAATACCACCAAAAGAAAGCTCTATTTGTGTGAAAAAAATTATAAAAATGTCATATAGGTACAATGTTGCATGACCACGCAATTGTCATTCAAAGTGCAACAGCGCTGAAAGCTGAAAATTGGCCTGGGCACAAAGGGGGTACAAGTGCCCGGCAGGAAAGTGATTAAACTACACCTGCACAGTTGAACTATAGCTGAAATGTTAAAAGACAATTTCATTCTCTAACAATTCCCATAGTCCTGTAAATTCTGAGGAAGATGTCTAAAAGTTTTACTGAAGTTACCACTCTCGACTGGTACCACTTCCTGGGAAAGGGAGTTCCATATTTTAAAGCGGAACTCCACCCAAAAGGGGAAGTTCAACTTTAAGGCCTCCTTCCCCCCTCCTCTTTCACAATTGGCACTCTTTTTTTGTGGGGTGGGGTGGGTCTTCTAGGACACAACACAGGTCCCAGAACACTATGGGACAAACCACTGCACAGTGGGCTGGGCTGCGAAGCTGCAAGCTGTCACAACCGGGTGCCCATAGCTAAGACACCGGTGGCAGAAAAGGGTACCTCGCACCCCTTTAGGTGAGCACACTGCTGGATCCGGAGACAGATAAGTGTCTGTTTATTAAAAGTCAGCCGCTAAAGATTTTGTAGCTGCTGACTTAATATTTACAAAAAACTGGCGCTCCAGTTGAGCTGCTCTCATAGTAATGATACATTTGTGAATGGTTTTATCTGCCCAAGGATCGTGTTACTCTATCTAGCCATTTTTGTGATTCATACACTGCCACATGACAGTGGGGCCACCTCCTGCCTACAGCTTGCTTTGACCAGTGCAGCAGCAGTGCAGTAGCAGTGTACCTACAGAGGAAGACTGAGGAGCAGAGTCTCTGTTGGTCTGGCAACTAATACACTCCACCCTTCTAGATCACACCCACTCTCCAACTACCTATCGAGTATGGTGGCCACCAATGCTGACTCCAAACACTTTGTGAGACTTCAGGAAAAAAAAAAAAAAAAAAAAAAAACACAAGTCAAGCTACTTATCGTATACATATTACATAAAATGTATGAACTTTGTGGCCGCTAATCTGTTTGTGCAAGACAAAAAACAAACCCAAAAAACAATATCTTCAACTGAAATATGAACAAAACTGGAGCCTGGTCGGCAAGCAATAGCAACTTTAGAAGAAATCTGTATTAAGGTGAAGGAACCCCCGTCCATTAATATGAGATTACAGTAAACGAATACACACTCTGCAGTTCCTCATCTTCGGCAAAAGTCGGGTTGTCCATGAGGTACTGCTGTGCTTCTGACCATGTTGTACAATAAGTTACGTTAGCCATATTATCTAATATATTCTTCAAAGCTTCCCAGTTCCTCTTTCTGAGCTGTTTGGCTTGTTCCTGAAAGACAGAAACCAGAATTTTTCATGAATAAAAAGAAATGCAGCAATTCAGAGCGACACAGCCAAACCTTCCACACAGCAATAAAAATCTAATACCTTGTGCCAGCAGCACATTCACATAATGATCTGTAAAGGTCACAAGGAATGCAGAAACGCAAATATGTGAAAACAAACCTGTTCATTGGATAGCGGTTTTTATTTCTGATGCAGACCCGGATTGCCTACACGCAAAACACACAACAGATGTATTTTCTGACATCAATCCCATTATTTCCAGCAGAGTCAGTGCGTACATCTCATGAGCTTGCTGAATGTCACCTGCGTATTTCTCTGCAATCTCACTAACCTTAAAACATCTTAAGAACATTGTCTAGATAGATATTTCAGACGATGACCTAAACACATTATCTAAGCAAGATACTTTTGATTAAAGGTTTTCTAAGCAAAAAGGTAAAAAAACACCATATCTATTCCACTTAACAGATATTGCGTTATATTACATTAGTCATTTTGCTGTACTGTCATTTCCACAACTGTATTAAAGATGATGCAGATTCGCTCTAGTGGTCATTGGTATATCAGGCTGCATCACTGGGAGACATATAGGGACTGCATCTATGGAATACTTGTTCCAACAACACTAATATTTAGTATTCATTCATTGCATTCTCTTGAATTGTTGATCCAGAACAAGCTAAAGGATCAGGAGTTTTGACTACACTCGCTGCATGCTCATTTTCAGGTCAACTACCATGGTACTAGAGAAGTCACACCACATGCAATTCCTCTTATCATATTAAGCCTCTGCATGCTGCCAAAGACTCCCATAAACTTGTAGCAAAGATATTAATTTTCAAAAACAGGGATTTATTGGTTTTACAATAATGTAAGTTGTTAGTGTCTACATACACTTTATTGTAGTATTTTTTTTTTTTTTTACACTTAACACCAAACATATCCAAAATAATTACTTTCGCACAGTACAACATTCGACTCCTCTATAAATTATTAAAAACATACTTTTCTGACAATATGAACCTGCATCCTGCCCTTTCTGTGCACCGCTTCACTGAACTTCTGGTTGGGGAATCACAAACTAATAAGCTCAGCACTATTCATTAGCTAACATTTATCGGGACTACATGTCCCATCATGCATAGCACCAGCACACATGTGCCTGGCTTTGAAAAATGTACTGTTTATGTGAGGGTATTGCACCTCTCTAGTCCTCCCAGGAACACGCACATAAGAGTAACTCCAGAAAATCACTTTAAAGGGGAAGAAGCCACTCTAAAAACAGAACATGAGGCAGAGAAGACCAGCATAAACTGGAGCAAAGTAAAACTATAATAACAGAACAAGTGGCATATACTGTGTGCAGTAGAAATTGCAAAGAAAAAAGAAACATTGGTTTGACAAGTGTTCAAACTGTTCAGCTTCCACCCCACTCTATGACAATGGCTATCAGTAGCATGGATACAGTAGATGTGAAAGTGTACACTCCTGTAATTATATATACACACACCTCTGTTTTTGCCATTACTAGTGAAGATAGACTTACTGATGTGGGAAAGACCATAACAGGATACAGATTAAGAGATACTGAGATATTAAAAAGGTACTTGTTATATGTCTAAAATACTTTAACTCTGTACTATCCAGTCCTCTGCAAACTCATTATAAGGCTAGGACTTTGTTGATGACTTGAATGTATGAGAGAAAAGGTTTGGGCTTTAACATATCACTAAAGTGCTAAAAGGGGTAGGCAATGCCTGTCCTTCAGCCAGGATATAAAGGGGGCACTACTGAGTTGCTGCGGTTTCTAATGTACACTGTGAAAATGCTCAAAATGTGCAGTGAGATCTGAGTAAGCAATTTCAGTACAGGAGAGAAACCCGTACAACTGTGCAAGACAAGTTCAGGCTGGAGTTCAATATAAATAGGAATTAAAGTGTTTCTAATTGAGCAACCCAAATGTGCAAGGGAAGTAAATCTGAAGTAACGAGTGAAAAAAAGCATTTCTTTCTCTGTTACAGTCCATGCCTAAAACTTTTTCACATCAAAGATAAGGCAAGCAGATGTGTGTTTTCTAAGCCAGACTGAAAAATGACAGGGTGATGCCAAAGAGTTGGCAAGAGTAATACAGATTGGTTCTGTTGTGTAGTCCTAAAGATATGTATCTCAGTAACAGCAAAAAAAAAAAAAAAAAAAAACAAACTTAAGTACAGAAGATTGCTACCTTTTCTTTCTTTGACAGATAGAACAAAACATCTTCATAAATCTCAAGACGGTCGCGCTCGGAAATTGCATTCCAGACATCTAGCTCTGAGAACATCTGCTCTGCTTTTCTGATACAAGGAAAGAAAAATACATTAAATAAGTAGGCACGATAAAAACATGATGTAAAAAAACAAAACAAAATAAAAAAAAAACAATAGTTGGCATGAAGTCTTACTTGTATCGGGTGGTTGAGGTCATCTTCTCATGGTTTTCTAGAAACCTCTGGTAAGCTTCTTTAGCCTCTTTGTATTTCAACCTGGCTTCCTCCTTCTCTTCTTTCTCTGTTTGCACCTTGTAGGCATTAAATGCTTGTTTCTTCTCACTTAGCTTTGTCAGTGCGCTATAGAGGAAGAAAGAACGTGAGGAGCATCAAAAAAAGTACATACAAATCTACCAGATTCTGAATGAGGATTTTTTCAGAATATCATAATTCACTTCAACTTTTTACTCTATGCTCTTACATGGATGGGAATCTCAAACACCCACTATACTTAAAAAAACATACCAATGATGAAACTGGACTTCACATTCTTCTAAAATATTTTTTAAGGTAGCTAGTTATATTTCCACACAAAATATTTGAGGTGTGTCCCGAATATAATGAGAATGAAGTTCCTACACTCAGAAGGGCTCTGTGAAGAGAGAAGCTGGGCAAGGTCACTTGGGGTGGGGTGCCAGGTATATGTTAGAACACTGATCAGGTGCATTCCAGCCCTGTCAGAGTTGACACATTCTTTATGAAACCCTGTTCAAGTGCCTCGTATTACGAAAAATGCAAGTGCGTATTCGATAACATTTTCTGTGGAATTGGGTAAAAGTGCATCAGAAACTTTGGAAATGGCAAGTAAAGCTTATGGAGAAGCTGCGATATCATCTGCACAAGTGTACCGATGGTACAAGGCCTTCAAGGAAGGACAAGGTGTTGAAGACAAAGGATCAGGAAGCCCCTTTTCATCAAAAACTGAACAGAATGTGGATGCAGTCAGGTCTGTTCTCAACAGGGACAATGGCTCACTATCAGAATGATTGCAGAGGAAACAGGAATTACCAACTCAATTGATCATGAAATCGTGACTTAGGATTTATACATGAGAAAAGTGTACGCAAAACTTGTTCCAAAGAACTTGTCAACTGATCCGAAGGAACACTGTCCACTAATATGCCAGGACCTGTTTGGAAAGAGAGCCTGATTTTGTGAGTCGAGTGATCAAGGGAAATTAATCTTGGGTGTTTGAGTACGTTCCCGAGATGAAGAAACAAACTTCAGTATGGCACATACCCATGTAACCTCGCACCAAGAAAGCACAAACGAGCAAATCAAAAGTCAAATCAATGGCGATTGTTTTTTTTTTTTTGATTCACATGGAATTGTCCATAAGAAATTTGCACCTACTGGTCAAACTGTGAATCAAAGATTTTACCTGGAAATTCTTGGCCGGTCAAGTTTTTTGTGTGTATCCTGAGATTGACTCAACTTGGATCCATCATAACGACAATGCATCTCCACATTGCATTGGCTATCAAGAGTTTTTGGCTGATAAACACATCACGGTACTTCCCCATCCACCCTATAGCCCAGACTTGGTTCCTTGTGACTTTTTATATTCTCAAAGATGAAGAAAGGCTTGAAAGGACACCATTTTGGTAGTGTGGATAATGTCCAAAGAGCCACTACATAGACTCTGAATGCATCCCAGTTGAAGACTTTCAGGGATGCCATGAAGAATGGAAAAAATTGCTGGGAGCATTGTGTACACTCACACGGTGCATACTTGGAAGTAGACAATACTCAATTGCAACATTTTTCAATAAAATTAAAAAAAAAAAAAGTTTTCATTAATTTCTGGACACACCTCGTACACTTGAAAAAAAAAAAAAAAAAAAAAAAAAAAACTATAATAGAGAAGTGGGAGTCCAGTTTGCTCATCAGATTATTTTTATTCATGTGAATGTTAGGTCAAACTGAAATGAACATGCTTTTTTGGTTCGGTTGCGGTTTAAGTGATTTTTTTTTTTTTTTTTTAACTCGTATTCTATTGTTTTTTTTTTTAAATAACAAATACACCTTATTATGCTCAATCACTTGTTAACACCTGATTATCACACCTACACGAGCATGTAGGGCATTTGGTTCCAAACCATAGCCAATAATACTGCAACTACACTCCTTTCCAGCTAAAAAACATCTTGTCTGAAATGCCTGTAAGTTGTTGCATTAGCAACATCCATCTCTGAAAACACCAAAAATCATTTTGCATTAATGCTCACATACGTCTGGCCATATAGGGTACATGCTATGATTGAGTACCTACAGACTATGGTTATCCGAATATAAATTATATCGGAAGCAATCTATCTTAGGCACAATGCGTGAAAGTGATGGTATGGTGCTGTGCAGAGGGAGGGGGTGATGTGATGTGTAGTAAAGTCAATAGTGTGACTTAATTATGTGCTGTGGCAGAAAAAAAAAAATTATATGGAACTTTTTATAGACAAACCCACTAAAAAATCATGTATGTGTTTCTCCCCAAAAAACAGATTCCGTTTGTTACATCTGCCCTGTGAATATCAAGATTTGATTCTATGTTATAGTTACCTGTATCGTGGATCATTGATTATCATTTTCATGGCTTGTTCCCAAGAAGCATTGGATGGCACACGCTAGAAAAAAAAAAAAAAGAAGGCTTGAAAAATGGTGTGTTACATCATTATTTGGTCTGCATATACACTCACCGGCCACTTTATTAGGTACACCCATTCAGTTGCTTGCTAACACGAATTGCTAATCACATGACAGCAACTCAATACACATTTAGGCCTCTAAACATGGTGAAGAGAACTTGCTAAAATCAAACCTAGCATCAGAATGGAAAGAAAGGGGATTTAAGTGACTGAATGTAGCATGGTTGTTCATACCAAACGGGCTGGTTTAAAGTATTGCAATAACTGTTTATCTACTGGGGTTCTCTCACACAACCATCTCTAGGGTTTATAGAGAATTGTCCGAAAAAGAGAAAATACCCAGTGAGCGGCAGTTGTGTGTACAAAAATGCCTTGCTGATGTCAGATTTCAGCTGTGACATTCAGACAGTAGGGTCAGAATTTTGCATAAAGAAAAGGAAGGGGGAATACAATACAAGGGGTGCCAACATCCCTAGAAAAATAGAAAAAAAACAAAAAGTCCTTTACTTGGTGGGACTTTAAAGGCACAGGTTTATAAGTTAAACTAATGAATCAGCAGTTAAAACATAACACTCAATTTTATTTTATACAATCTTAAAAAGGACATAAGAGGTTGAAGTACATAGACTATGGCTGAAATTGTCAAAGGATGTGTAATCTAATAATAATGGAAGATTGGTCATGCAAATGTTGCACTAATGCATTTCGAGACTAAATTGTCATCTCTTCCTCAGAGGAGCTCAAAGAGGCATGACACATGGCCCCATGTAGGGGCAGGAAAAGTACACGTGAGCCGCCAAAAAGCTACAAAGTATCGATTCCCATGATGCAGTAGAGAATATTCACAGTCCTCTCACAGCATAGATGATAGTAGAGCACCTTCTTCCATGTTTGCCGTGTTCCTCACATGGCTTCTCGCAAACAAGACTTCTTATAGCTTTCTTTCAACAATGGCTTTCTTCTTGCCACTCTTCTATAAAAGGCCAGTTTTGTGCAGTGTACAAATAATAGTTGTCCTGAGGACAGATTCCCCCACCTGAGCTGTGGATCTTTGCAGTACCTCCAGAGTTACCATGGGCCTCTTGGCTGCTTCTCTGATTAATGCTCTCCTTGCCTGGCCTGTCAGTTTAGCTGGACGGCCATGTCTTGGTAGGTTTGCAGTTCTGCCACACTCTTTCCATTTTTGGATGATGGATTGAACAGTGCTCCATGAGATGTTCAAAGCTTGGGATTTTTTTTTTATATAGAACTGAAAAAAATAGGCGCTGTGGAAAATGCTCTCAGACAAGCACCTTAATGAAGGTGCATCTTTATTGGGTGAGACAAAGTAGCAAATATAATAAAATTTGACCAGCCTGAAGTGGACAGTGTGACTCCAACGGACGGCTCGTCCGCTCTGAAGGGAGCTGTTTCGTGCAGTTGCGCTTTGTCTCCAAGGAGACTTGACAAAGCGCAACTGCGCAAAACATGTCCACTTGGTAACCCTACACATGCTCCCAGCTGAAGCCAACGCCGGACACTGCCTTCGCTTGCCATGGTGACACCACGTGATTTGATGTCGACAGGAGCATTCTCCGATCTCAGCTCCCTTCAGAGCGGATAGGCCGTCCGTTGGAGTCACACTGTCTACTTCAGGCTGGTCAAATTTTATTATATTTGCTACTTTGTCTCACCCAATAAAGATGCACCTTCATTAAGGTGCTTGTCTGAGAGCATTTTCCACAGCGCCTATTTTTTTCAGTTCTCTTCATCATGCAAATGATTAACAAGGCAGCAGTGGTGAGCTCATGATTAACAGTTCACGTTTCCACCTGGAGTGGCCTCTCTGCGTTCATTTGTATGAGTTTCCATTTTTTTTTTTTATAACCTAACAATGCTTAAAACTCCACAACTTTATCCCTAACCTGTCTAATGTCTGTTCCTGGGCCTTCGTGATGCCATTTGTTCACTAATGTTCTCTAACAAACCTCAGAGGGCTTCACAGAACAGCTGTATTTATACCGAGATTAAATTACACACATGTGGACTATTTATTTTAGTTAAACCATTTATCATTTTCCTTCCACTTCACAATTACATGCCACTTTGTGTTGGTCTATCACATAAAATCCCAATAAAATACATTTCCGTTTTTGGTTGTAACATGGCAAAATGTGGAAAAATTTCAAGGGGTATGAATACTTTTTCAAGGCACTTTACAAAAGAAGAAGCTGCTGTCTGGGTTGATTTTTTTTTTTTTTTAGAGTAAGCACCCTCACTGAGTTTCACTTTCACAGCACATACAAGTGAAAAACTTCAGGCAGATATAGGTAGATATGCCTGCCAAAACCAGAAAGGTATTTTGGATTAATCCAAATTTTTACACTTCAGGACTGTTTTTAGAGTATCAGACAACTTTGCCAAATCAAAACACTTGTTTGTTGTCACTACATTTCTGCCCCAAGATTCCAATAGAAGCAACTTCCGTGGCACATGTGATAAGCAGAGCCATCAGCCTTCACGGAGATGGTCTAGCAACAATAATGAGTAAAGCAAAAGACTGCAAGACTTTAAAAACCCAGCATTGTCCTGGTGATGTGACTGACAGCAGTCTGACTTAATGATAGGAAAATCAAACTGCAACTATACCAAAATAATATGTTTGTATATTACACTGCCTTTTTGTATGTTTGCCATGCTCAGATAATGGATTTGATGCACTGGAGAAAAGCATACCTTAACTTCTATTGTTTACTTTGAAAGTAATAAAATCACTGAAAGAAAAACCCAGAGGAAGGGGAACTGGCTTACAAGACCGTCATGTAAAAGTTACATTTACCCAAATGATTTTACTTTTTTTTTTTTTTTTTCCCTGCAAAACGTTTAGCATCAGAAACTGGTGACATCACTGTAATATGCAGCACCATGTAAGTGCACATCTGCTGCTGCAGCATTTCAGTGGGTACCAGAGCAACCATATAGGTTACCTTGTATAAAATAAATATTCAAATCAGTGGAAGAGTTTTATAAATGAAATACCTTTTCTTTGAGAAGTTCCTTAAATGCTTGCTTTGCTTCTTCCTTTGTGTTCCATGTATAGGTCTTTTTAGGAGTCTTTTCTTCCTCCTCTTCAACAGAAGCTGAGCTGAATTAAACAGCATGCAACCAGGTTTGTAATGCAATAGCCCAAAATGAGTAATCACATACAGATCTAATCAGAAAAACTGTAGGACACTCAGGTTGTTTACTTACTCTGCTAGGACCTCTTGCTTGGCAGATTCCTCTACAATGCCGCTGCTGCTGACTTCAGGGTCCTTCTCTTGGATGGAAGACGACACAGAATGGGCTTGTTCTTCACCCGAGTCATTGACCATAGTCTCAGATTCTAGGGCAGGTGTTGTGGGGGTGGACATGGCAAGCTCTGCTTCAGCAGCTACTGCCACAGGTGCAGGCGTGGGTGTGCTTGTCACCTCTACAGCAACTGGAGCTGTGTTGATTTGTACAGGTGCAGCAGCAACAGTAGCAGCGGCAGGAGCAGGAGCAGGAGCGGAAGCTACAGTTTCTTGAGTACTGCAAGAAAAAGGGCACAATTGAACCAAAGCAATGTTAACCCAAGAACACATTTTACAATGATAAAGATACTAGCTGATTGATTTTAAATTTTTTTTCCCCAGCAATGTGCACTCAATCACACACATCTACACGCAATATAACTGATGTGAATGTACAATATATATGTAAATATATGTATATATGTAAAGCACTGCGTAAATTGATGGCGCTATAAGTACCTGAAATAATATAAGGCATTGGCCATTTATAGAGATATTACTGATTATTAATAATAAATAATAATGTATATGGCCAGCTCCAAACTAGTCATTGCAAGTGAATGATAAAGAGAATCAATAATAATATACAAACTATATATGATACTTCAGCCCCAGTCTAGATCTAACTTTGAAATTCAGTGCTGGAGCCATTTCGATCTCTTTATTATACTTTTTTTTTTTTTTTTTTAACTTAAAATAGCTCTTCGCTTGACAACCAGATTTATTTCCTGACATGCTTTAAGATCCTTGGGAGTCAGCAGTAGCCACAGCTTGGACATGTCAGAGGGTGTCCACATAGAACTAATATTTGTCCTTTCACACAGGTACAACTATAATATTCATGGCTCAATGGAACGTTATTTTCCATAGAAACTGTCAAAATGTCATACGACGTTGTTGTCATGGTAGATGTATGGGCCCATTTCTACCACTGTATTGCCATTGACATGTTACTTGCAATAGTGTCTTGTGGTGCTGTTCATTGTGATTGGCACCCTATCCAACCTGCAATGCAATGCACCGCAGGGTAATGCACTACAGTGTGTGGCGGTGCTCTAGAAAACATGCTACAGGTTAAATTTTAAGTCTGCTGTCATGACTCAACTTGTGTTAATGCATGTGCGTTTAACGCACTGAAATGGACAGTCCTGGTGTGAATGGACCTTTATATAATGCTTAGATGAAGATACAACATAGAAAAAAGTTATTATTTTCATAAGTGTTGATTAGTAAATAGACAAAAATCAAACAAAACATACCTGCTGCTTTCTTCTGCTTTAATCATTGCTGTAAGAGAGAAAAAACAAAAAAAAAAGTTAAAGTGAACAAACTGGAATTTCTACCGAGAGAAACAATATGGTAATGATTCAAACATTTTATCATGTATTATTCTCTTTCCCTCTTTGGCAAGAAAGGGAAATATGGGTTATAAGATACAATAGCAATTACCTTCCAGATCTTCTAGCTCTTTAGGTTTGGCCCAACGAGATTCCTTTGTCTGGGAATTGTAGTAATATGGTTTTCCAGAGTCAGATTTAAACTCCTTCCAGGGACATTTCGATAATAATTGCTAATTAAAACAATAATGAAAAATAAATTAAGTATACTAATGTGTTAGAACATTATTTTTTATTTTTTAGAAGTGGTACTGTTTGAATAATTTTAATTATAAAAAATATTAGGACTCAAGTATAGAAAGACATACAAGGATCCCCATGCGTCACCACATACTTTTTCACTACAGAAAACAGTGAAACTTAAGTGTTACTAAACCCTCAACAGTAAAATCAGTCTGTATATGCAGTAAAGTATGCTTGTTATACTCATTGTGGAACTTAAGGGGATAATCTTCCACAAAGAGTAAAAAGAATGTTTGATCCTGTCTTGGGGTGCAAGCTGCACATGCTCCGTTTGGTGTGTCAATCTAAAACGTTTTTTCTTCGTGGGAGATTGCAAGTGATCGGCACAGGCCAATCAGCACTGTCCAAACAGAGGTCAGGGGTCCTGCATCCTCCCACAGGAGAATGAAAACTCCTCCTACAAGCTGTAACCAGTGCTCTGCTGTACACTGATAGAAGTCACAAGACTGATATATACTGCTGATGAGAAATGGTATTTAGTGGTTTATATTTACTATATTAATTGCATTTCCATGTTCTGTGTACTGTGAGAGACCGGATATATTGACACAGGGTCCTGGGTTTAGTAACACTTTAAAGCAATGTGTTCAGAAATCTGGGGTCTGGGCAATGAAGCCAGAAATGCACCGTTACACAGCCGGACCACCAGAAGGTGTTACAGAGAATGACTACTCACATACAAAAATTTAAAAAGTTGAGTCTTCGCACAAGCCAGGCCATTAGATACACAGGTACTGTACTCTAGTGATATTAAGGGCTCGTACACATTGATTTTGGGGGTGTCTCTGCTGCTTTTCTGTGCCATCAAAGTAGTTCTAAGCAGCTTAATGCAACTCCCTGAGCAAGCAAAAACAAAAAAAAAACCTCAAAAATTTGGATTTCTGAATCCTAAGCCATCTGCACAAGCTCTAGGTGTCTTCCATCAGAAAGGTAGGTTTTTCTGAATTTACATTAGTGTTATGTGGCTATTTCAGATAAACCTTTAGAAGCTGAGACAAGTGATGTACTTTCTTGCTAAACGTTTACAGAATATGACAAGTGCCACAGATCAGAGACAGCAATCCAAGAACATATGTGCTGACTGGGCAACCTGTGCTACTACAAAGCAACCAAAGGAGAAGGCCCATAGTGTTTAATTCTGTCCTTCTACCCCACCATTGATGACTAGGGGCCTTCATTAGCAGGCTAGAACCAGATAAGGATGCAGCTCAACCCCCTCTTCATTTCTAAGGCACTGCATATCAACATTCAAAACTGTCAATACAAAAAGGTGATGCAAATGGTATGAGCGATATTCAGAGACATATGTTTTGTGTAGACTGGTTGGGGCGCTGCAGGGAATAGAAACAAGCTGACAAGCTTCCCCTGTAGGCCAAGTTCACGCCTCTGTGGTACATTTACACAAGAGCATCGACTCATGTTAGTTTGCGCATTACATGTGTTGTGGTGGGAAGTGGATGTGGGGATAACTATGAGTTAAAAGTTAAATGTCTAGGTGGTTTGTATAAGGGTGGGATTTTGTCTATGGAGTTCTCTGTGGGGGGGAAGGGGGAGTCCTATAATTGGGGGGGGGGGGGGGGGGGGGGGGTTGTTGGGTTGGGTAGAGAGCATTACAGGTGGTAGCCAATTTTGCCTATACGTCTGATGTTTTTTGCTGTGCATCACTAATTTGTTTCTCCTTTTTGTAGTAGGGTGGCTGCAGTGCAACAGTGGAAGGACAGTTGTGTGATGTATAGGTAGAGGGAAAGAGTTTGAAGGTTTTTGGTGTAGGGATACTGTTGCTATGTGGTTATTATCTTTATCATTATTACAAGTAGTGTTTGCAGTAGTATTATTGTTAGATTTTTTAAATTATTGTGTAAAATTCAGGCAATGACTGCTCTGAAGCAGCAAGTGATGAAATCCTTGTCACTTCTGGGATCATTTGTCACAGAAGCTCTTCTGTGGACAGCCACCTCAATAGTTTACCACGGCCCACCACAAGCACTGTAAAAGTGATCACTTTTACCTGATATCACTGGTATAAACGCCGGATGTCCAGGACGTTTATATACATATGCTGGGCAACAAGCAGCTAAAGAAGAAAAGGCCATCGACAAAGTAAGCTTTATGAATGCTACAGGTTGGCATAAGGACAGGCACATAGAACTAGATAATGGAGATTATAGCTAAATAACTGGAAAACTTAATTCCACATAGAGGTCTGCTTTAATCCAAAATTCCACCACTGTCACCATTAAGCTAGAACAGGGGTGGGCAAACTTTTTGACTTGAGGGCTGCAATGGGTTCATATATTGGGACCCGGGGGCCGGACCAAGAGTAGATGAATGATGTGTATGTGTCATCCATAGTAAGTATAGTAATATTCCCCCATAGTAAGCATAGTAATTAATCCCCCATATAGTAATTCATCCCCCCCCCCATAGTAATTCATTCCCCCATATAGTAATATCCCCCATAGTAATTCATCCCCCATATATTATATAGTAATTCATCCCCCTATAGTAATTATAATAGTAATTCATCCCCCTATATATAGTAATTCATCCCCCCTATAGTAATTCATCCCCCCTATAGTAATTCCCCCATATAGTATAGTAATTCAATTTACTTACCTTTGCTCCGCGCGTTCCTCTCGCCGTGTTCCCGCGCCGGTCCGGTCTTCAGGGCGGACTGTGAGAGGAGCCTAGCTCCCCTCACGTTCGTCACGCTGCCCCGCCTACACACATCCTGACAGCCATCCTGACAGTATCACGCTCCGCGGGCCGGATTAAAAGGTCCGCCGGGCCGTATACGGCCCGCGGGCCGTAGTTTGCCCATTGCTGGGCTAGAAGCATTATACACCAGTCTCAGATGACACAACAGGATGCAATGTAACCACTGTTTTAGCATAAGCAAAGAAAAGGTCAAATTTAAAATATACTTATTTCAAAGAAATTAAGTGCTGCTGCTCACAGAGTAGGAACTTCCTAGTAGAGCAAACACACAGTATTTCCACAACATGAAAATAAGAATTTATGCTTCCACTTGACAGCTTGTTATTAAACCAGCAGCAATAAAATATGATTTACCTCAGCTGGGGTTTTCAATTCATCTGGTTTCTCCCACGTAGACTGCTTGGTTTCGATATTATAATAATATGTCCTACCATCTGGTGATTTATGTTCTGTCCACAAAGATTTCTACCAGAGGAATATAGAAAAATGCCAACGTAAGGGTAGGAATATAAATCAATGGCACAGAGAATAAACAAATGAATTACTGGCGTACTGGCTTGGTGGGCTCTTCATTAGAGGCAAGGTTTGCTGAAATGGCTGGTGGCGCTGAAATTACAGGATGTGCTGCCTAAATATTAAATAAAATCACATTTAAAAAAGGGCACAACAGAGAAATGGAAATAGATAACACAATTCTTGTGCGCACAAAATTCATCAATGTTAATTACGTACCTGTGTGACTGGCGGCTGAACTGAGAACAAGGCAGAAAAAAAAATAAATATAATTAGATTTCTAAGCTTTGGAGTGTTGTTTAGCCAAAACAAGACCTTGTGGTTAGAAAGAGTTAGAAATGATTTTGCACTGCCTATAGAAACAGCATGTACAATCCAGATTTCTAGCAAATGGCAAACAGCAAAAGACCGTTACAGGTTATGGAAGACATTTAAAAATTCAGGAATTACAAAAACAGCCTACTGTTCATTGCTACACCTGGCCTTTCTTACTAGTGTATATTTATCCATACTTTATTAGTCAGCAAGCTACATAAATTAGCAAGGCCATGTATTTTTAGTGTAAAGGAGACCTGTACTGAGAGAGCAGTGCTGACTTCACTCTTTCTAGTCAGTAAACTTGTTCCAAGTCAGTGACTCAGTGAAGTTAGAGATAGCCAGGTATGTAGAACTCTTAGGAGGAAAGTTCTCAGCACAGGTTTCTTTAAGGGTTCATAAGCTGTATGGCTTAGTCTATGTTAAAAAAAAAGTTGTGGTTCTGCAAAAAAAAGGGGGGGGGGGGGGATTGAGGGAACAAGAAAAAAAAAAAAAAAAAAAAAACCAGAACGCGAAATGTCACACGTGTTCTGACACCCTACACGTTGTTAACTGAAATGCAAAGTTTGTGCACTGGTTCATGCACTTAGGCATCTATGTCCATGTTAAAGAAACAGCTTACAAGTGGTACCATTTTTACTTTGAGACAATGAATCAGCCAGTCATCTCTCTGGATGACAGTTATGCACTCATAGCATGGGTTGGTGCTGCACTTCAGTATGGCAGGCCAGATCAATGATAGAAGCCTGCTTTAGTGTAGTGTGTGCATGTTGCGTAGATCAAAAAACGAAGGACATAAAAAAAGCATAAAATATCAGTGGCTGAGGTATAAGCCCTCATGCACACGGGACGTTTTGATAACGCTGGTAACGTTAGCTGTGTAAACTCATGTTAAAAACATGAGTTTTTCAGCTTTTTTTGAGCGTTTTCGCATGAGCGTTTAGTAGCGATAAGCGGTGTTTTCGCATGTTTGCATTTTTTTGTGGTTTTTAGCAGGGTTTTTTGGCAACAAAACGTCAAAAAATGATGGTTTGCAGAGTTTTACCGCGCTTTTCAGCGTTAGAGCATTGTCACAGCTAAAAAAACTCATCTAGAAACCCACTAGTCTTGGGTTTTTTTCCAGCCAAAAAACGGATTACAGTCTATGTGTGCATGGACACATAGGATAACATGCTGGGGGGTTTACTGGCTGTAGGAAAAAAACATTCGAAAGCCAAAAACAGCCGCTGTAAAAACGTCAAGTGTGCATGAGGACTAAAGATGCATGTGCGCAGATTTATGACACAGACACTAATTTTCCCTGCATCAGATAACAGTGGGTTATGACACATTAGTACATATAATCTGTGCAGTTTTGGACTTGTAAATATTAGATCTAATGGTATAAAATACACAAATATTGTACAAGTAAGGTCACATACCAAGTGAGGGATCCAAGCTGTTCACACCTGGCTGTTAGAACAAATCAAGAAGTTTAATAAGTATTCCACTGTAAATCAAAGCCTTTGTGCAAAGATGACAAAGACATATTTATAAACAAATACACATACAAATGCCTACATGATCACTTGCATTCAGAAGTTCACACCTTATCCAGTGCCTATTGCTAGGTTGAAAGCCCCTTTGACAACTTGGAGAAAACTCAAGCATGCAAAACCACAGTACATCCATAAAAAAGGTCTTTGTAATAAAAGCTATTTAACTTTATTACAGAAGCAGGGCAGTACAAACCAGTGGTGCTCCGTTTCACAGTAATGTTTCAGACTATGTAAGAGAATTTGTTTCATCTCTATATCACCTGAGGCCAGTCACTTTACAGGGTGTATGTAAGGGTTTACAACCACTTTAAAAGTAGAAAACCCTAACAAAATGACTGTCTACCACATAAAATTGTAAAATTAATTTGCGGCAAATAAAAAGAAAACTTGCATACGTACTACCTGTAAGCTGGCAGGTAGAGTGCCTGGTGCCACATGCGCTGGCATCATCATTCCAGGCATGAGGGGAGGAATCATTGGAGCCATCTGTACAACACAGAAAAAAGTTATAAGATTGTGGAACACAAACTTTTACCATAAAAGAAAATCAACAACATATTCACAGGGTTTAGCAAAATTCCCAGAGCCAGGCATCTGATGAATCAAAATGTGGCACAAAACATAGTATGTTCACAGGTAAGAAAAAAAAAAAAAATAATTTCGATACGTGTCTGGAATTAAAATGATACCATTTAATATCCAAAACCCAACTTAACATTCAGTTTAAATCAGAGTGCAAAGTAAGTTTTTTTTCTCCCTCTAAAAAGCTGCCACTGCTTGAGTATGCCAGCATACTGCATAGTGGGACCCTTGCTCTCTGTGTGGAAGCAGTGGTCTCTCTTCAGAGCTCTGACACACACCCTGCCTCATCAAACCATGAGCTTTGCTAATTGCAAGGCTTTATTTCTACGTCAGCAGGCAACTTGTCAGACCTGGCTGTTTTGGAAAAAAAAATTCTAAGACATTTGTTTTGATACACCAGGAAAGCAGATTACAGTTGTGCTCAAAAGTTTGCACATCCTTGGAGAATTGGCAATATACAGTATGTACCATTTTTAAAGAAAACATGAGTGAGCTTCAGGGTGGATTTGATTTAAATCAAACTGATTTAAATGACGATTTAAATCACTAGTCAGTAAGGCTTGATTTAAATCCTAGTTTTCTATATAAAGACTAATTCTTGCTGGTAGAACTTTAATATGCAAGTAGATAAAGATTTTTAGAATAACAACTTTTCATATTAGTTTTTTTATCCCCAGTTTAATAGGTTAATCATTCATATTTGGACAACTTTTCTGTTGTACTTAGGAAGGAGAAAAATAATCATTACCTTAACCACTTGCCTACCAGGCACTTATACCCCCTTCCTTACCAGGCCAATTTTCAGCCTTCAGCGCTGCCGCACTTTGATTGACAATTGCGCGGTCATGCAACATTGTACCCAAATGAAATTTTGATCATTTTTTTCTCACAAATAGAGCTTTCTTTTGGTGGTATTTAATCGCCACTGGGCGCTTTACTTTTTGCGCTATAAATTAAAAAAGTGCAAAAAATTTGAAAAAAAAAAAACAAAACGTTTGTTTCTTTTATAAAATTTTTCAAACAGGTATTTTTTCTCCTTCACTGATTTGCGTTGATGAGGCGGCGATAGCACTGATAGGCAGCACTAAAGGGCACTGATAGGCAGTACTAATGAGGTGGCACGGATAGGCGGCACTGATAGACAGCACTAATAGGGGGTCACTGATAGGCGGCGGCACTGATAGGCGGCACTGATAGGTGACACTGATGATGGGTACTGTATATAGACGGCACTGACTGGCATCACTTCTGGGCACTGACTGGCGGCACTGACTGGCACAACCCCTGGGCACTGACTGGTGGCACTGACTGGCGGCACTGGTGGGCGGGCACAGGTGGGTGGCACTGGTGGGCACAGGTGGGTGGCACTGGTGGGCACATGTAGGTGGCACTTCTGGGCACAGGCAGAGTGGCACAGGTGGGGGCACTGCTGGGCACAGCTGGGGGCACTGCTGGGCACAGGTGGGCGGGGCTAGTGGGCGCACTGCTGGGCGGAACTTGCGGGTGTCACTGCTGGGCACCGATCATCAGGGCACTGATCATCAGTGCCCTGATGATCGGTGCCGATCCCCGCTCTGACAACTGCCGGTTCTCGGCAGTACTTTCCTCACGATCTGACAGCGTGAGGAAAGTGCAGCCGAGAACCGGCACTTGCATTTCCCTGTGATCAGCGTGTCATTGGACACCGCTGATCACGTGGTAAAAGGCCGGTGGGATCGGCCTTTCACCACATCACGTGATCAGCTGTGTCCGTAGGACACAGCGATCACGGAGATCGCCGGGTGCGCGCCCCCTAGGGGGGGCGCGCAGGAGAGCACGTTCTGGGAGGACATCATATGACGTCCACTCAGAACTGGCCGGCCGCGGTGAAGCCGTCATTCGGCTATGCGCGGTCGGCAAGAGGTTAATAATAACAATTTAAATAGATTTATTCAACTGAAACAATAACATTCCAGCATATGTTATTTGCTTAAACATCCATGTTTGTTAACTAATTTGGCTAAACAAAAATATATATATTTTAAGAAACTTAGACTGTTTCCTCCTCACACTTAGTTTCACTTTCGTCTTGTGCAGATCTATTCCACTCCAAACAATCAGAAAAATATTGTTTCTATTCTATTCACTGAATTTCTTGAAACTTTAGCACTGAAGGGGTTGATTCTGTATTCATAGGTTTGTAGAAGTTAGGATTAAGGTCTTTTTCTTAACTCTGTTCATGTTATAACATTTTTGCTGTGAAGAAGAGGCATGTGATCTCCGCTGAGTCAAATTCAGTTTTGAGAACTGCAAAAGTAAACCAAGCATCTGTGATAATATCTTGTAGGCAGAGAAACTGCCCAATAATCTTACAAAAACCTCTGGAAGAGCATGACATTGTGAATGGATTCATGGAATTTAGTTACCAAAAAAATTAAACATATACAGCCTTATTCTACATAATTAAAAAAATAATCTTTATTTCATGATGGAATAACCTTTGGATGGTAATATATTTTCCTCAAAAAGCATTTTATTTAAAAAAAATACGGTTTAAATAAAAAAAAAAATCTGATTTAAATAAATTTTTTTTTTTAAAAAAAAAAAAATCATTGATTTTTATCCACCCTGGTGAGCTTGCAAAACACATTTCTTATCGGATTCATATTCAACTAAAGGCCATAACAAAATGGCACAAACAAAACACAAGAACAAGTAAGCAAATAAAAAGGACCCCTGTTCAAAAATCTGCATACCCTTAGTTCTCAATACTGTGTATTACCCCTTCAGCATCAATGACAGAGTGCAGTCTTTTGTTATAGTTGTCTATGAGGCACCTGAATTCTTGCAGGTGGTATTGTTGCCCATTCATCTTTGCAAAATGCCTCCAGGCAGATCCCCACAGAGTGGTTCGATGAATGGAGTGGATCAGGAAACTGATGGCCACTCCAGAACCTTCACTGTTTTCTTCTGTAACCACCGGAGGGTCAACTTGGCCTTGTGCTTAAGGTCATTGTTGTGCTGGAAAATCCAAGGGCATCCTATGCGCAGCTTTTGCATATAAGAATGCAATTTGTCTGCCTGCATTTTCTGATAACATGCTGCATTCATCTTGCCATAAATTTCACAAGATTCCCCATGCCTTTAGAGCTTACACCCCCCCAAAACATCAGTGAGCCACCACAATGGGATGGTATTCTTGTCGCTGTTGACTCCTCTCCAAACACTGTGCTTATGGTGGTAACCATAAAGCTCTATTTTGGTCTCGTCATTCCAGATTCCAGCATGTCAGAAGCCATGAGGCGTGTCAAGGTGTTGTTGGGCATATTGTAACTGGGCTTTTTGTGGCATTGGCACAGTAAAGGTTTTTTTGGCAACTTGACAATGCGGCTCATTTTTGTTGAAATATCGCTGTATTGTGCTCCTTGAAATAACACCGTCTTTTTTACAGAGCAACCTGTATTTCTCCTGAGGTTACCTGTGGGTTTTTCTTTGTGTCCTGAACAATCCTAGCAGTTGTGACTGCAATCTCTCTTGGTCTACCTAACCTTGGCTTGGCGTCAAGAGATCCCCGAGTTTCCACTTCTTCATAAGTGATTGAACAGTGCTGGCTGGCATATTCATTGCTTTGGATAGCTTTATAAAGTTCATTACCTTGTTACGCTGATCTTTTGACAGTTCTTTTCTGCTGCCAATGGTTCAGTATCTAGCCTGCTCAGTGCATCCAAGTGACAGCTAACAAACTCATTGATTATTTATACACAGACACTAATTGCAATTTAAAAAGCCAAAGAAATTAACTTTTAATTGCCATTTTAACATGTGCATGTCACCTTGTGTGTCTGTGCCAGCGCCAAACATTCCAGGGTATGTAAACTACTCAGGGCCATTTGGGTGATTTCTGATAAAATTATGAATTAAAAAAGAGCAAAAACAACTGTGTGACAAATGGCTTCATATAAATCACTATCCTTAAAAAAAGAGATTTCAGCAAACATTTGAGCTCAACTGTAAAGTGAAAGCTCAACTGGCTTTGAACTAAAATTTTAATCACATCCCGACCACCCTATAACAGATATACTGCTACAGGGGTTCGCAAAATCATATAATATATATATATATATATATATATATATATATATATATATATATGCGATTTTGTGTTTACGGGTAGGGGGAGCACATGACACGTGCCAGCGCCCTACCCGCCCCGCCATTCACGGCTGTCAATCACCTCCTTCCTGCACAGCCATCCAGAGCAGTGTGCTTACAGTGAAGCACCAACACACCGCCCCCAGTAAAACACTCCCTGTACACAGTTAACCCTTTGATCGCCCCTCATGATAACCCCTTCCTGCCCAGTGCCATTAGTACAGCGTCAGTGCTTTTTTTTTTTAGCACTGATCACTGTATTGGTGTCACTGGGGATGTCAGTGACACCAAGTCAGTTCCCCCCAGTCTCAGAATGCCCGCTGCAGTCCCGCTATAAGTCACTGATCGCCACCATTACTAGTAAAAATTAAAAATCAAAACCCAGTATATAAACCGCCATTTGTAAAAGCTATAACTTTCATATAAACCAAATTAGTTTACACGTATTGGATATTTTTTTTTTATAGCAAAGACATGTCACAGAATACATTTTGGTGTAAACTTATGACAAAATTAGATTTAAAATTTTTTACTGGACATGTTTAAGAGCAAAAAGTCAAAAATAGTTTTTTTCTCAAAATTGTTGGTCTTTTTTTTTTTTTAGTGCAAAAAAATAAACGCACAAGCACTCAAATACCACCGAAATAAAGCTCAATTTGTGGGGAAAAAAAACCCCGTAAATTTCATTTGGGTGCAACGTTGCATGACCGCACAATTGTCAGTTAAAATAACGCAGCACCATAACGCAAAAAATGGCCTGGTCAGGAAGGGGGGGGGTAAATCGTCAGGAGAGCAAGTGGTTAAAGTTGCAAGCTTTAGAAACGCTTTCTTCTTTAGGTCAGCTATTAAATGTCAAGAAATTTAAATGACAAAAAACTCTTCTAAAGGTTTGCATCTTTAAGGCTTTGCGTTAGCTAATACAAAACTAACTGCTGTAACACAAGGGCAAACACCAGATATTAGGTGTACAATACATGACCCAGCTGCATAATCTGGAAGACGTATAGCACAGGAGAGGAGCCACATTTTCATTAAAGAGAGATTCCAAGCAAACAACTAAGTACACAGTTGAAATATATACTGTATATGTATGCAGTTTGCCTGCCAAAGATTTGTACTTTTGGCTCTGCTACTGCCTATTTACTTAAAGGGGCCCTAATGATTCAATGCCCAATGAGGCTGGATACAAAAGTTGCGCTGCTGAACTAGGAATATGAACTGCCTAACTAGAAACTACAGGTGCCACTTGACCACAGTGTAAAAAATGTGTGTAAATCACAAGATTGTCTGAACAGAATTAAAGAACACCACAGCAGATAAAACAGCAAACATGTATATTTCAACAGTGTATTTAGGGATTTGCCTGGTGTTTTGCTTTAATACAGGAGCTCTCTCTCATATGAATACTACTACTAACGTCTTTAAAGAAAGGCAAACCGTGTGTAAGGGAATGCAGGGGTGTGGGGGTGATAAGCGGGCATAGATCACAAGTCTGCCCTGCACTGACATTTTCTAAAGGTCCTGTAATTAGTATTACAACCTAGAGTAGCCAGTTATAAGCTGCAGCAGAAGACTGCAAGTACATTTCACCAAGAAATCTAAGGACCTGACTACAGAGAGCAGGGAAGTTCAGCACCCACATCCTGAGTACTGATGAGTATGGATATGGGCTTTAACCTCCTTGGCGGTATTCCTGAGTGTAGCTCGGGGTAACATTTCAGTACCAAGAGCGGTAACCCCGAGCTACACTCGGGAATACCATGCGGCACTGCTCCGGCATTTGTTCTTCACTTAGCTTACCCTGCGCTCCCGCGATGTGTCCCCTGCAGCGTCCCCGGCCATCTCCTTCGGCCGATGCCGGCATCCGGCTTCTGTGTCCTGTCCCTGTGACGTCGGGACGTACGGGCGGCGGCGGGAAATTTAAAAATTTTAAATAATGTCATTTTTTTTTTTTTACATTTTACATAGTAAAACATTGCTGTCTCAACCAATTTCACATACATTTTGTCCCGAGTGCTTTGTCCTGCGCCCTGCCTGCATTTTGTCTGTTCTTTCTGCCTGGAAACTGAGAAACGTCCATGGCGTCCAAAAAGTGTCCCTTTAGGTCAAAAGCGGTTTAGATCAGCTAGAGAACAGCGATAGTAAATCAGAACCACTTGCAGAATTGAGCGATAATGATTTGTGGGGAAATTCGTCATCAGACACTGAAAACGATTCTGCGACTTTGCTCAGCGATGTGCGAACTTGGCGCTATATTTCAAATGTCAGTGTTTTTGGTTGATTATATTATTGAATTAAATGTATTAATATTATATTATTTTTTATGATTATTAAATTATAATTTATGATTTTGTGTTTAAAATTTTATCATCCCCGGGATGTTTAATAGACTCTTGTTCAGACAGATTTCAGTGAGTTATTCCTAAATATTACATCCTACAATAAAAAAATTACATATTTCCATGCAAAATAATGGTACCGCTTTCAGCACCAAAAATCGGAAATAATCATACCGCCAGGGAGGTTAAGTACTATCCACTAGCACCGAGTCCAATAAACATTTCATTACATTACCTGAGCCATTTGATGAGTACCCATTGGTCCCATCAACGGTGGGATCATGCCTGGTGGTGCCAGATTTGGTCTTGGGGGTAAGCCACCCAATCCCATGCCTGCGAAATGGGCAACGGGGTTCATCTAGTAAAAATAAAAAAAAAAAATAAAGGGTTACAAAACAAATTTTGTGTTACTGTTTTGTGCTAAAGGAAACATATCATCAGTATGTATGAAGACTACCATTGCTGACCACCTCCTTCATAATTATTTTGAGTTGGTAACTCAATGGAAAACAGCCAGATTGTGTGACAGTAGCAAACCAGTGGGAGTTTGATAACCTGTTTATCTTGTCTGAAAAAGCAACCACTAGGGCTCCAGCTGCCTGGTCTTTATTGCAATAAGCTTGCCTTTAGAACACAGTTTTTAATGACAAAAAATACAAAAGCATTTTTAAAGTGGACTTCCACTCACTCTGTAAAAAAAAAAAAAAAAAAGTCAGCAGCTATAAAAACTGTAGCTGCTGACTTTTAAAAAAACAGCCACTTACCTGTCCCACGATCCTGCGTTGCCTCCGCCGCAGCCCATTTCACTAGCCATCCTGTATTCCTGAGGCCGGCATCTTCAGTGTGGGTATCCGGCCGTGACAGCTTGCGGCTTCACAGCCAGATGCCAGCTGCACTTCCTGAATGGCCCCATCATCTTCTGGGACCTGTCGTCACGTGTTCCACAAGACTTCAGGGAGGGAGGGTAGGAGGACAACTTCCGTTTTCAATCACCTAGGCAATCGCAGCAGAAGTGGGAACGGGTACCTGTCAAATTCGTCCCCCCCCCACTCCCCAAAGGTGCCAATCCTTAATGGGGAGCGGGGGACCAATCTTTAAAGAGGAACTTTCCCTTTTGGGAAGAACTCCGCTTTATATATGTATAACCAAAACACGTTTTTCCTCATCTTGGATAGAGTAGAAAATGATTAGATCCCCCATTTAGTTTTCAATGCTGTTGTGTGTCAACTAATGCTGTTGTGTGTTCACACTGAGCATATTAACCTTCTGTTTGCCATGGTCACCACAACAAAAGATGATAGAAATCTTAAAATTTTACAATTGCCATCAGAAGAGGAGTAAAGGCAAATTTTTCAATGGGGGCGCCTGTTCATGTGACAACTGGTTTTAAAGTGGAATTTCCCTCATTAGGATTCCTCACTTCTTATTGCGTACCTTGCATAGCAAGTGAAAGGAAATTTCCCCATAAGAGACACAGACAGCAGAAACTATATTCACATGGGTTTTAAAACCTTCCTTACGCTATCTAAAATTAAAAAAAAAAATTTTTGACCATACACACACCTTACAGCGAAAATTTACTCACCTCACCTCCAGTATTACGGTGTCCCGAAGCTCCCTTATCAGCCACTGATATCTTTGGCTGGTCAACTTCTGAGTACCAGTCCTTGGTCATTTTCATCGGTGAGGCTGAGATGACATCACATCCAGGCATACGCAGGAGTTCATGCATCTCAGCAGATGCTCGCATTAAAAAAAAAAACTGTGCACTGAGCAGGCAAAAAGCTTTTTGTAGAAGAGGCATAGCAGGTCTCTTTCGCATTAAAAAAAAAAAATCTGCCTGTTCACAAAGTGTAGTCTCACTATTTAGGAAAGTTGAACTCCTATTTTAAAAGAGAAGTCCATCTCCCTGACAATGTTTAATGTTACACCCATATTTAGGGTGAAACACATTCAGTTCCAACCCACCCAACCACCGTTCCCCTTTTACAGGATTTCAGGGTTCTTTTCCCTGCAATCTGTCAAAATGTTTTCCCGGTGGCTCCACCTGGGGAATGTGATACAAGTGTACTATGAAGATAAACATTCTTTACACATATCCTTCCTGAAAGGAACATGGAGGCCACCATTCCAACGCTGACTTTTGCAAATGCTAACTGCCTGGCTATCACGTTTACACAAAATGTATAGCGATACAGGATTTTGATGTTGCTGTCAGATATACAGTACTGTTCTAACTCAGGGACCAAGAAACGGTCAGAACAGTCAGACATTTTCATATTACACTTAGAAAAGAATGATTTTAGGATCTCAGCATAGTTTTAATGGAAAATATATACACAAACATTGAGAGATGTCAGAAAGCACACAACGGTGTACATTGTAAAACTGAATGGAAACATTCAAAATATATACATTCACCTGAATGGTTTGAACTGCATCCAATCTGCATGACATGTGAAATAACATTGCTTCCGATGGTGCCTGTTCATATGTGTCCGGATTAGGTGTGGGTTAAAAAAAAAAAAAAAAAAAAAGTAATGTACGACTACTGAGCAGTGCGGTCCGGTGCAGATTACAGGCTATTGACTTCTATGGGAGCCATTTCTAAACCTGACATGTATGAACAGGATAAAATCCTGAGCGGATCCTGTCCTGAATCTAATGTAAACCTGACCTAAACCAATGAACAGCTACTGTGTCATTTAGCTGTGAAACCTGAGCTTCAAACCACACCGCACGTGTGAATCAGCACTTCGTGAAGATCTTGAATTTTTTGTTATTAAAAGGCCTTCTAATTACTCAAGAAAGTGTAAAGAAAAAAAAAAGATGACTTACAAACTGTGCTCTCATCATGCGAGATCCGTTTGGAAAAAGTCCCGGCTGACTTGGTCCATTTGTACCATCGCCAGATGCCTGGAAGAATTGCACAAAGATTGGTCATGCAGGTGAGCTTTACAGGAATGAAGCATTCTTTGCTGTCAAATGTCATTATTTCTGACAACTGTATGTAGAAATTGAACACTTTAAGAAATGCTTTACTGGTCTAAGCTTCATGGCCTGCTCACAGACAATTAAGCACTTTTGCTGCCAGTGTAAAACAGAGTGTAGAACTAAAATACATACCACAATACACACGAACGTGACAGAAATCATTGTTGTAGCATTTACTTCTTGCAATCAATCTGCCCTTAGCTGAGGCATGCAGGAAGGAAGTTGTGTTTAGCTGAGAAAGGGGTTGAAAAAGGCAGCTCTAAAGTATAGAGAGCACACGTTTCTATAAAAAAACTGAAAACAAGCATCAAGTATTCCTCAAGATGCACCTAATTGCCTTCTACAACTACTGTAGAAGGAGCAGGACCTAACCAAACTCAGCAGGCTCTGCCTGCTTGTAAGAGTTTGTGATCTATAGTAATAATAATCACTGCATAGCGCATTATGAAAACCATGACTTCCACTTCTCTGCAGTAAAGACATTGAGCCAGACAGACACGTAAAATAGATGCCTTCACTCTCTTTATCTGTAGTTACAATGCAGCTTGCAGGCAAGCTGAATATAAACAAAACCATGCTTTCAATGCCTGGGCTTTTCACAAAAGCTTTCAGAGCACAAGAAAAGAACAGTCAGGTAAGACAGGCCATATGTTATGCAATTTTCTTTCCTTTAACCACAGGTAGAAGGGAATAAAATTGCTTGATTCCCCTATCAGCACTGTCTGTGCTGCTGGGGGAATCCCTCTTGCAGCCATCCCTGCCAGCTATGGCCAGCAGCACTATTCATTCAGGTAAAACCCAACAGGCTGGTTGTACATAAGTCAATCAATAGATCAACTTGTGTACAACCACGGTGCTCACACATGAAGCAAAATTCGGCTGGTTCAGCAGGGAATTTCGATCCATGTATGGCTGGCTTTAGAAGGTTATATTCAAATAAAAACAAAGATGTAACTTGCGAGTCACTCACTGCTATTACAGGATCGCAAACATACAACACGTCCTCTTTAAATGTGCAAATAATTCAAACATATAATATGTTGTGCTCCTTCTTTGAATATTAAATCAATACATATTTCCAATAAATATATTAAAAAATCAATATTAATAAACTTGTGAAAAACAGAAAATCATGTGAAATCAAAAGGTCATCCCGTAATATAAAAAATATATAAAAATTGATCAGTCTTCAATGAAAAAAAATATATGTGACTTTTCCCAGCGATTCAAATCTAAACAGTAATTCCAGCTGACTTCCTTAGTGAGTATAAGATGTGCGCTCACCGTAAGATTAGCCTGTAACAGGCTAATAACGCTTTTGTCCACTTAATGGGACTGATGTTTGTTGCACCATATGAAGAGTGGTGGGTCCCTCTCAGGCTGATTCCCGTCTCCTATTCCTGCTGGGATCTCCCTTTTATACTGCTCATCTCCTGCTTTCCTTTCCTTGGCAAGTGCCCTCAGTGGAAAGAAAATTACCAAAAATAGTGCTTTATCTGTTTTTTTTTTTTTTTTTTAAAAAAAAAAGATAAAGCACTATTTTTGGTAATTTTTCTTTCCACTGAGGGCACCTGCCAAGGAAAGGAAAGCAGGAGATGAGCAGTATAAGAGTAAGATCTCAGCAGGAGTAGGAGACGGGAAGCAGCCTGAGGGACCCACCACTCTTCATATGGTGCAACAAACATCAGTCCCATTGAGTGGACAAAAACGTTATTAGCCTGTTACAGGCTAATCTGGAGGTGAGTGCACACCTTATACTCACTAAGGAAGTCACCGGGAATTATTGATTTGAATCACTTGGAAAAGTCACATATATTTTTTTCTGATCAATTTTTATATATTTTTTATATTATTATTTTTTGTATGATGAGCACGGGATGACATTTTGATTTCACATGATTTTCTGTTTTTCACAAGTTTATTAATATTGATTTTTTTTATATATTTATTGGACATATGTATTGATTTAATATTCAAAGAAGGAGTGCAACATATTGTTTTTATGGCTTTAGAAGGTTACATCTGCAAAGTTTGCATCCCTGGATATGCTGACAGTTGCTATGTTTCAGCAGTACAGTTATCCTTAATGGATACATTCACATTTGGGAACATGTTACGTTTCACCTATTTTTAGGGTGGAACATGTAACATGCTGCTGCAACCTCCGCTGGCTGTTCTCTCTCCCTGTAACAGCAATACAAGAAGTTCCCCATAATAGCTGTCACTTTTTGAAAATAGTGCAACCATGGAGCTCTGCCCACACTGCGGCCTCATTCATTCACAGGATTCTGTAAATTAAATAACTACAAATGAATGCACAACGAGGTACAAGCACACAGATACACCAACAGGTCTGCAGGACTCCTGCATGGCACCAGTGATCCGGCTGGTGGACTGCTTTCCAAGCTCAAAAAAAAAAAAAAAAAAAAAAAAAAAAAAAATAGTAAATGCACATTTTTTTACCCGCAAAAAAACAGGCATTTATTATTTTTTTTCTAAAAAGTTTAAAGTGATTGTATATCCATATTTTTTTTTTTAAAGAACAAACATGATCTGTCATTCCTGCTCTGTGCAATGGTTATGCACAGAGCAACCTTGATCCTTCTCTTGTGAAGTCTCCAGCCAGCACTCCTGGCCCTTCTCCCCTCTCCGCCAAGTGCCCACCACAGCAAGCCGCTTTCTATGGGCACCCATGCAGGCTTGCGTCCAAGCCGGCTCCGTCTGTCCATAGACACACAAAGTGTGGGCCCGGCCCCACCCGCTGCAACACTGGCTGTGATTGACAATACCTTTTGCTGTTTTCTTGGAGCATGAGGAAGGAGAGAGCTGCTGCTCTTATACACAGAGCTGGATGGAGATCAGGATCAGGTAAATATAAAAAACACACAGGTTTTATTTTTACCTTAATGCATTAAGAAAAAAAAAAAAAAAAAAAAAAAAAAAACACATTCGGCCGCCAAAACCACTTTAAAATTTCAAACACATTTGCACATAGTTGACTACAGATGGGAGCTGTGGATAATGCTCTGTGTATTGACCCTGATAAATAATATTCAACATACCACATAGAGCAAACTTTGCACTAGACTGTAAACTAATAGTGATGCTAAATGATAACTTTAGTCTTAATGACTTAAAATAAAAAAAAAAAAAAAAAAAGAAGATGCTATACTTACCTGCTCTGGGCAATGATACTGCAGAGTGGTTCATTATCTCCTTTTTGGCAGTGTCCACCTAGCGGTCTCTGCTTCTCCTTTCTCCAGGTACCTCCTCAGCAAGCCAGGATCTATGGAAGCACCTATGCGCTTGCTCTCAAACTGGGCTGTGCGAGTCCATAGACAGACACACACAACACTGGTAAGCCATTCCACCCCCCCCCCCCCCCCCGTGTCCTTACAGAAGTTTGACAGCAGCAGGAGCCTATGGCTCCCACACACTCAGTGTCTGGTGTAAGACCAGGAAGCGACCAGGAGCGGTGCTGCAGTTGAGCCAGCACTAGGATAGTGACAAGAACCAAGTGTTTAGGGACAGAGGGAGCTAGAACAGGCGGAACAGCATTTTATACCCTAAAGAGAGTATTTGCATTACCATTAAAAAAAGTTTTGACTTTTGAACCACGTTAACTTGGATGCTGCCAGAACATTATGTTAACCACTTACAGGTTGGCCCGGTCTGCGCAAGATCACGCAAAATATACGGGATTTCGCATTTCCGAGTAAAGGGTGCACGCCGCCCTACCCACGCTGCCATTGGTTCCAGCGGATGTCAATCACCGGGTACCGACTGCCGATTCTCAGCTGGCACCCGGTGATTGCCGCTAAAGCGCAGAGGGGAGAGATCTGTGTGTAAACTCAACTCAAAACAACTCTCTACTGTCAGCATGGACATGCTGCTTTCTCTCTGTGCAGAGAGAGAGAAAGCAGCATGTGTCCCTAGTAAAACAGCACACAGTAAACGGTTTGATCTCCCCAGATGTTAACCCCTTCCTGCCCAGTGTCATTAGTAGAGTGACAGTGCTTTTTATTAGCACTGATCACTGTATTAGTGTCACTGGAGATGTCAGTGGCCGTTCCCAACCAGTTTCAGAATGCCCACCGCAGTCCCGCTAGAAGTCACAGATCGCCGCCATTACTAGTATATTAAAAAACATTCCAGCATATACACCGCCATTTGTAGACGCTATAACTTTCACATAAACCAAATAATTTATAGTATTTGGATTTTTTTTTTTTTTTTAGCAAAGACATGTAGCAGAATACAATTTGGCCTAAATTTATGCAGAAATTATATTTTTTTAATTAGATATGTTTTATAGCAAAAAGTCAAACAGTGTTTTTTTTTAATAGCGCAAAAAAATAAACGCAGAGATGATCAAATGCTATCGAAAGTAAGCTCCGTTTGTGGGAAAAGAAAATGACAATTTCATTTATGTACAGCGTTGCATGATCGCGCAATTGTCAGTTAAAGTAACGCAGCGCTGTATCGCAAAAAAAAGGCCTGGTCAGGAAGGCGGGGAACCCTCTGGAGTTATATCTTAATTAGTGAAAACAATTAAATTCCTTATACTTTAATTTACACTAAAAACCAGAACTCCAGAAATCAGGCCTAACCACAAGAACTGCATGCACCCAATACACTGGCAAATTAAAATGAATGAAAGACAATCCATTTGCAAGGAGACCGATGTCTGCCGAGCAGCAGTTCAATATTTTTGCCAAGCATTTTTGTGTCTGGTTGTGCCACACTAATCTGCAATGTTGATGCACACAGCCAAGTTAAGAATTTTGACTGCTTGCAGCTTCTATGTGTCTTTCTATAAAAGGTGATGAATTTAAATAAAAGGCAATCAACACTAATATATTTCCAGCCACTAACTGTGCAGAATTCAAAGCATACATTTAGGCCCCTTTTAGTCAGGGAGCA